GCTGATCATCTCGCGTGGAGCTGGTTTGCGCCGAATTGAGTTTGGCGGGCATTTTGGGACGCGATTTGATTGGGCAAGAGTACCAGCCCAAAGAAGGATGGGCTGCAGCGTTTTTGGATAAGGATAAGAATCTGCTCTTTCGCCCACACAGCTCATCAAGCATTACCTTCCTCTTCACGCGCACAACCATCACTCCTTCTCATTTCCAAGCTGATTCGCATCCATTATGGGAGCATGCTTTGGCAAACCTGATCGCAAAAATCAGGGTTACGTCCTCGGTGGAGGTAATGCCTCTTCTAACGGAACAGCAGGAGCTCCTACAACTGCATCAGGAAAGACCCCAGCGCAACAACCACAGCATCAACAGAGTAAAGGCAACAGTCTGGACGGAGTATCGTCAGCAGCGCCAGTGAGAGTTCAAGGCGAACTATCAGCATCCGCTCTGGCAGCACAGAAGCGAGCTGAGGCTGTATGTTCTCCAATATATTATCACAGTTTCCACTAACGGCACAATACCCTCGCATTCACCACATGTACTAATCACGTCTCTGTCTTTATCAATGCTTTGTATGCTTAGGCTGAAAAGAGAGGTGTTCAACAAGGAGGCGGAAAACTTGCCAAGAAGCTGGCCAAGGAAAAGCAGCAATCTCCATACGCAATTGAACAGCCCATGCCTGAGCCAACGAATGTATGTGTCTCGCTAGTCTTGTACAGCAAAAAATGATTGTTCTTTTCATTACCCTTCCCACCTTCTCACGGTTGTTTCTTCATTAGACCCAGTGGAACTAGACGTTCAGAGCCAAACATTGCCGACTGCCATCAAGGAGAACAACGGCTTTAAAGAGCAACAGGGGCGCCTATAAACTCTTTTAGAAGGCAGGCAGCAGTATTATAATTCACCCTTGAAGCGACGGACGAACATCCAGAAATAAAGCAAGCAATTGGCATTGCTATTCGATCTATGCCGACCTGAGTCTCTTACATTTCCTACTTACGCATCGATATGGTAGGGTGGGTATGATTCATGCCACACGCTTTGCACGCTCACAGAGGGAGGCTATGCCCTGGTCATGACTATGGTGCATGGTCGAAATATGGCCTTGGAGTGCTTGAGCTCCGTCCGTGCCGTGGCTTGCTCCCTCTGCGGATTGGAAATTCTGGAGCATGATTGGCTGGAATCTGATTTCGTCAAATGATCTCCACACGAGATCGCCTTGATCTCTGCTCGGCTTCTTTTACTCCCGACATACATCCGCAACCATGTCGCGTAACCGTATATTCAAGGAAGCAGCTATCCTAGTAAGGTCAGCATCCCGTACTGCTCTCGCTCAGGCCCGTCCTGCCAGCACCGTACGTCTTCTTTCCCTCACGGCGGCAACCAGAACCACGCCTGTCGTCCACGGACCTCGACACCGATTCGCACAACACAGCATCGCTCAACGCGCCTACTCGACGTCCTTGGATCAGAGCCTCAGTCCTCTGGCCCGCTCTGTTATCGCCACAACGCGCGCCGTCCGCAACATTCTCATCTTCTCCACCTCCACCCTCACGCTCGGCTACTTTGTCTGGGCGGGCTCACACGCCTACCTCGAGCAATACAAGTGCCCTTCACCTGAGGGTGTCTCCGCACAGGTCCGGAACTGTCTCCACGGCGCGTGGGTCCGTGAAGAGATTTCGCCCGATCCGGATGTTGCGGCGATTTATCTTCAAAAGGCATTGGAATTTGCAAGGAAGGATCTCGAGGAGTTTTACAGGAAAAAGAACCATTCTCTCGAATATTCATCCCTGGAAATCGAGAAGGATAAGGCCCTGGTTGAAATTCAAAACCGGTTGGCAAGATTCTATGGCAGGATCGGACGCGATGAACAGGCAGCAACTATCTGGACCAGGCTTTGGAAATTGACTGAGAAGGAGGTTCCTCCATCATCAGACTCAGCAAAGGCAGGATCATCATCGTCGTCGTCAGGACTCGGCTTGAGATCTTTGTTCGGCGGCGCGTCTATAGGTCGTCCATTGATCACGAAACAGGATGGCGTGCCCTTCGCAAAGAGCGCGGCGAATTGCTGGATGCGCATGGGCGAATACGATCTTGCAGAAGAAGCCCTGAGCTGGACATTGAGCACAATCACCACAGCCGCCAATGCTGATGCGACAGGAAGCACGTCCGATTCCATCGAAGAGGTGGGCTTGCTTTCAACATTGGGCGCCTTGTACGTCCGTCAAAGGAAATCCGACTATGCCTTGTCGCTTTTTGTCAAGGCCCTACAGTTGGTTCAGCACCATCGTGCGGTCTCAGAGCAGAGTAACACGGAGAAAGATATGTGGTATTGTCGCGAGGCCATTCTGACCAACAGCATCGGAGAGACGCTTTACGGTGCCACCACCGCTGCAAGGTCAAAACTACCAATGGAAACTGCGGAGCAAAAGAAACCATCGTCCTGGAAGTTTTGGTCCTCTTCAAGCTCCTCTACGACAGGAGGATCAGGATCAGCTGCTGCATTCAAGACAGCGGAGCAGACAAAGAAGGAGGAAGAGGCCCTGGGCTGGATGCAAAAGGCAGTCGCGATGGCCAAGGAGAAGAGTGGTCAACACCGTGATTGTGACGAGTGCGCGGCATTGGGTCTCAACAACCTGGGGCTGATTAACGAGGTAAGACATCTGTTTTCCGCAAGCGCCTTTGGATGTCATTTTAATCAAGAACGGATCATATTAATATCTGGCACTCTTTCGATAGATGGAGGGTAAAACAGACGTGGCGCTGCAGCAGTTCAGGGAAGCAGTTTTGCATGCTACCATGGCCAACGATTTTGTCGGATTGGAGGACTATAACAAGAACACTGCACGGCTGACAGACAGGATCGCCTCGACCTCGGAAGAGCAAGCAACTGTGCCAGCATCATTATCAACCACATCATCACCAACAACAGCATCAGCATAAATCATACACAGCACGGCATCTCTTGATTCAAATAAAAGGGATTCATTCTGACGTTTGAATAAAGTATTATTTTATTAGTCAAAAGCAAATCACTGTAAGCGAACAAACTGCTTCAATTTGCGGAGGGTATGATGTTCTCTTTGCCGGCTCTAGTCCCAATCGTTGCCCCAGCCATCCTCCTCTAATGCCGCCTCATCCACTTGTACTGCCAATGAGGGAGTCGTCTTTGGCAAAGCTGGTGCTGTTGTTGGGGCAAGAGCTGGAGAGATAGCGAGTGTCTTGCCATGACCGACGCCATTGCTACCGTTGCTGCCATTAATACTGCCGTTGCTTGCCGTTCTCAAAAGTGGTGAGGGGACACGCTGGGGCATTTCTACAGGACTTGATCTTCGGCTTTGAGAGCCTGCGGAGCTCGGAGACATCGATCCTCCAGGAACTGGTGCGACTGCTGGTCTGATTGTTGCTGAATCTGCGGCTGATCTCGCAGGTGCTGAGGTTACGGCACTCGTAGTGGCCGTGACGCTACCATGGAGTGTCCTCGTAGTCGAAATAGTTCCTGTAGAGCTCGATAGTGTCTTGGAAGACGACGACAACATGGATATAGATGTTGAGGATTTCAAAGGACCAGCGCCAACCGATGTGCCACCAACATACACCGGCGCTTTATATGATACTTCCAGGTCCTTGAACAGATCATCGTCCTCTGCAGCCGCAGCAGCACCAAGCTGGTTTGCGAGCGCACCCATATCGAGGTTCTCATCCGAATCCCAACCATCCTTTTCTTCTGTTGGACCTTCGGGTAGTCGGATCATGCTGCGACCAGAAAGCGGCTTCGGTGCCGCTGTAGAGTTCGAGGAAGCCGTTATTGCTGCTGATACCGATACGGATGCTGATGACGGTGCTGACACTGGCGCTGCTTTAACGGCTCCCAGCTTCAGTCCATTGGATGAAGGTTTCTTATTGATCTGCTTCTCCGCCAGTTGCTGTCGCCTGGCCTCACGCTTAGCCTGCATCTCCTGCTGCTTTTGATCGCGCTTCTGGCGCAGCTGCTCCTGCTTCTCTGCCTTTTCCATCTCACGCTTCAGAAGTGTTGCTTCGTCTTCCACATGATGCTCCACTGCTGGTGAGGAGGTTTGGTTTGCAGGACCTAGCATATAGATAGACAGTCACCGCGATTAGAATAACAGTACCCTGAAGTGACAAATAGGAAGAAAAGAATATGATACTTACTGTTCAAGGAAGTCGAATCCTCGGCGTCCCAGTCGTCGCCCTCATCATCACCGGCATCATCCCATCCAAACGCCGTCGAGTTATCAGCAATGCTGGGATTGATATCCACACCTCGCGGTATACTGCTCGTTTTAGAAGGTGGACGTTGCTCGACTGGAAGTTGACGCACCTTCATTTCGGCTTTTGCAGCCTCCAACGCCTTCATTAGCTCAAGCTCATCTGCTGCCTGTGTGTCCTCTTGCGTGACTTCCTCAGCATGATGGTCGATAGGGTCGTCAAGAGCAGTACCTGATTCCTGTATAAGTTCCTCGCGAGGGTCGTAAAACTGTGTTGGTTTATCCATTGCCTTGCTCAAGTGCGAGTCCAATCCAGGTGTGCTAACAAGGGTATCCCGGCTCGTCGAATCAGCCGAAAATGACCCTGCCCGTGTCAATGAGGGGGTTAGCAAAGACGGAGTCTTGAGTGATCCCTGCTCCGAGAACATGAAAGAATCCTGTGAGACGATCGATGAGCGTCTACTCGACTGCAGATCCGCACTCAAGTTGCCGCCCTTCACATCAACCCCGTTGTAGCTCCTCATTGAGCTGCTAGAATGGCTCCTCTCCCCTGTAAATATGGACCTTGAGAAGATAGGTCGCCTTGGTGGCAAGAGCGACTGTTGCTTTTCGCAATACTGACGGATCCTTGAGACGTGAACTGAGTGAGCTGATGAAGGCGAAGGTGCAGGTGGCATTGGCGTGGAAGATCCTTCTGTATTGGTTTTATTAGCATCGCTTTCAGCAAGATGCTGTTGATCCTGTTGCTCAACCGCTAGATCTGGCTGAGATACCAACGTGATTGCCTGGTGCGCCACCGTCGAGATGGCATTTGCGGCAGCTTCGCGGACCTGCAAATCATCGTCAAGTAAAAATTGTGGAAGAAACTTCAGTAGACCGCTGATGCAGAATAATCCGCTGGTGCAATGCTTGGTGAACGATTTCGAGATGAGTTCCACCCGCTCGCTGACAGGCGTAATCTTGAGAACGGAGACGAGGGCGATGGTGAGAGGTGCGCTTATATCCTTGACAGCTGGGTGATTGTACAGGCCAAGGGTGTAAATCGAGGACCACATGCCCATGATGACCTCGACTACCTGCACCTTTGATTCCTGTGTACAATCCTCCGAGATCCAGAAGGCCATGATTTGAGGAATCAGTGTCTGCTCATATAGCGTCTTGATGGAGATTTTTTGTTTGCTCATGTCCGTATCCCCAAGAGTTGTCACCAAAAGTGCGTAAGGGATCGCGGTGGCCAGGCCGCAGAGCGATGCCAGGTACACTTTGGGATCCGCATCCTGAAGTCCTGACAAAATCTAATAATGCAAGCACTAATAGTTAGCATAACATGTCCATTGATGAGTTCAAACGCTCTCTTCATGGCATAAGGGTCAATCCTACATACCTCTGGCATAATGATCTGTACGAGAACTTCAGATCCGCCTTCGCCCAAAACAACAGCCTTCAAGTACACCTCAAATAGACGGAAAATGGTCATGCGAATGTCAGCTTGTCGATATGTCCAGAGTTTGATCATGAATGGCAGTACTTGGGACTGGTACACCTCTTCAGAAATGAGCGGCTGAGGCGGCTGCGGGGTGAACAGATTCCTGTATAATTTGTCGAATCCCTCCGCTGCAAAGAACTCCTGCGTTAAAAGCTGCGGAAGGACGAGCTTCTCCATGATGGATGGTGCCAACATATGAAGCTTTGGCATAATGGTCCTAAGGAATAAAAGGAAGGCCTCATGATATCAGCAAGGCTGTATTTTCTGTCATTCTTCAAGTACGAGCAAAAAAAAGAGTGTACGTACTGGCTCCATTCCGCATTCTGGCCCTTTTCCAACCCCTTGAGTCGGCAGTAGCGGACGACAGAGACAGAGTTGTTGCGGATAAAAATATCGGACTCGAGGATGACATCGCCAGGCGGCCGTTTCCGAGGATCAACGTTGAGCATACGTTCCAGCGGAAGGGCACTCGGTTTAATATGAAGTAGCCCATACTGGATGAGTGTTTCGACCAGCTTCCCATACTGCCATATATCCACGGCATGGGCAGTATCCATGTCCTTTGAGCTCTAGAAGTGCGTGGAGGAAAACCAAGGTCAACACAGGTATCATCATTGACAGGTCAAATAAAGTGCATTGTCATAAGTTCCATAGGGTATCCATACCATTTTCGATGACTGTCCCTGGTATTCTGGCGGCACCAATTCCTTTGATAGGAGCGATGTGAGTCCCGTCTCCATGGATTCCGCTGCCGTTCCTGTGAGCTCCATGCCGCCAAGGACCCATCGGCCGTTCGAGACAAAAATAGAGCCCAATTGTACATTGTTGTGCGAGACATGGCATTGAGAATGCAAGAAATGGAGCGCGACCTATTGGTATCCATAAAGAGGAGGAGATCATGGTCAGCGGTAAATCATAGATCGTGGCAATTGCCCACAAGCAATAGCCAGGCAAGGCTAGCTCGTCCTTGTAGATATGTCACAATGAGATGCAATTTCGTACCATAATATCGTAAAGACCCACAAGGATCTCATCCTCGGTAATCTCCTCGAGATACTCGAGCGTCAAGGGTATGACTTGCTCTGTGATGAGGTGAACTCCCGCTGAATCTGTCTTGCAGTCGATAAACCTCAGTACGGACGGGTGTCGGATCGTCTTTAGTTTCTAGTGAATGACAGTGTCGGGAGAAAGGATCAGCAACATGACAAGGGATTCAGTTAAGGTTGCAGAGACAAGAACTGCTGCCTATCTCACCTTGATCGCCTTCGGCAAGAACTCCTGCTTATTATCGAACACAAACTGGGATGGGTCATAGGTGAACGCTGAGACGGGTCGCTTGCCATAGAAAGCTTCCCGCAACGTATAGACCGGTGTGGCCTGGAGAGACTGTGTGCCAGGGGCAAAGACCAGCTTTGCCCTGGAAGAAACCTCGCCAACACCAGAGGCACTTCCTTGAATCTTGCTTTCTGCTGCACCCATCTTTTTCGGACTGGTCTGATCGCTTCAAGGTTGGTGGGTTCTGATCTATTCTACGAACCGTCTTGATGCAATGGGAGGGGGGAGGGGGGGGGGTACTTGTAAGCTGATGAGGCGCCCAGGTGAAGAATCGGGAGCGGGTGCCGAGTGTGGGAGAAGCCAGTTGCCAAGTGAGCAGAAAGGAGCGATCTTTTCTGGTGTTGTCAAGGAAGATGAAAGAGGAGAGAAAGTCTGTTTGCACAGTCGTTGGATGGAATAGTCAAAGGGCAAGTGATGAGGTCGAAAGGGGAAACTTAAAGATCTTTCTGTGCACTCGCAAAAAATTCATAGCGAAAACGGGCTTTAACCAAAGACATGCAGCCTCTTGCGCTTAAGGTCGCACCACTCACTGTGCTGACATGTTCATGTTTGTTCAAATCGCCGCTGAGCATCGGCAAGTTCTTGTGAAGCTTCCCTAGGGGCTCGACGAGAAGGATTGACACTCATCTATGATACCTGCGAGCATGACAAGTTTGGCTTACATTACAAAAATTACACCATCCAACGTAACACCGACCTACGCGCCTTTCTGGTGGTTGTGGAAGGGTGATTTGGAATGTTTACTCTTGAAGAAGTACCCATGCCATGTTGAAAGCGTGATGACCCGTTTGACAATAGCCTGCACGATATGTCTGTGCCATAAAGATGGCTGATCAAGCTCATCTATATCGAGTCTGATACAGCACACGCAGCTCGACTATTAAAACTTACCTTGGGTTTGGTCGTAGTCGCGTCGGCCCCCATGTTCCGACGTGTCATACCATACTGACCTCGTTTGGAGAACACTCGTACAACAACGCGCGCCTTGCATCTCAGATCAAAGACGGAAAAGGCATGCGCAAGCTTCTTGAGTCTATAAGAACACGCCGAGGCTCTCACTTACTTCCTGCTGTGAACTTCAGTGACAATAACTGGTATACACTTTCTGATGTCGCTTGTTGGGTCCGGTCCATGGAAATGCTAGAATAGACTTGTATAATCCAAAGAGCCGCTGAAGAGGTAGTGGCGGCATTGTCGAGCGAGACATGACTGTACGCCATTGTCAAGCAACGCTAACGACCCTTGCTCGCTGAACTGACGCCATTTGGCCATTTGCGCAGTGCATTTGCTTTTGTTTGGTCCAAGGGTAGTGTAATGCATCAACGACTTTCAACTTCTGTGCAACATAGATACAAACCGACGCGTCTAAGTCGAACAGAGGATTAGTGGCAAGTGGATTCAAACCAAGTACTGATGATAACTTTTGGTATAAAAATACTCCTGCCTCTCACGTTCCTCAACTGGAATCCCCATTCCTCTCTTCTACATTCACAACTCCTTCCCTTCCTCTTGCAACTAACAGACAACCAGGCCACCATGACCCAGACAGGCTCCATCAATCATATCTCTCTTTCCTCTTCAGATTATGAGCAGAGCAAGAAGTTCTACGGCTTTCTCTTGGTCGACCTCTTGGGGTACAAGATGGTGGCTGAAACTCCTCACTTCACCATGTGGGCCCATCCCTCTGGCGTTGGTATGAAGATATTCTCTCGCTTATCGCGTGTGCGGACTTCAAATATGGTCACCATCCTCCATTGTCGCTGACTCTCATTTTGTTAACCTCGCTTACTGTGAATTAGGCATCTGCGTCAGTCCTGGTAGCAAGGAGCCTCACCACAAGACTACCCCTGGCCTGAATCATTTGGCATTCAACACCGCGACTCACGAACTCATCGACGAGTTCTATAACAAGATCGTCCAGTTCCAGGAGGCAAACAAGTCCACCATCAGTGCCAGTGCCATCCTGGATAAGCCTGCTCTGTACCCTCAGTACTCTGAGGGCTACTACGCGTAAGTCGACCAAGTGAAATGGAGTAATGGGAATCAGAAGGAAAATACTAAGCATCTTTATCTTTGTTCGAACTTGGGTCCCTTCATTAGTGTCTTTTTCACTGACCCCGATGGTGTCAAGTTGGAGCTCGCCTTCATTCCTTCTTATGGACATTAAAAGTGCTACTTCGCTCTACGCGTGGCTTTTCTATCCAAGCTCCTTTCCCTGGAGATTATATATAGCGCATTTAGGAGCAAAGAAATAAATAAAGCCTCCAAGGAGGACAGAAAGTGCACAACGAAACACAAAGCGTTGTTTGTCGTTGTCGAAAAACGACTGAGATTGTTGACGTTGTAAACGCCTCTAAATACACCAAAAAAGTATGCGACACGGTTTTATTTACCAGGCTCTCTCTCAACCAGCTCTATGGTTCTAAACAAATTATAAAGCGACACAGCCCACTCGTCCGTCGGTCCAGGCCTCTTGTAACTCAAGCAATCGTGTCCGCCAACATGCCCATCTGGCCGCATATTTGTCATGGTCGCGACGTTCCAGTATATCCCACCAGTCGCCTCAACAATCTCCTTGGCCATCTGATTCTGTCGGTCATAGTGCGCCCAGTTCAGAGGATAGTCCAACATTTCGGCGATAGGGATATCTTGATCAAATGGCTGTGCTGGGGCCGAAAAAGTCGACCTATTGTGTACGAGCGGCGTTTTGTCACGAGCCTGGAAAGCGCGCTGATCAGAAGAATTATTTGCAAGCTGCTGTTCCTGAGCCTGTGCATTTCCATCGATTTCCACCTGGTGCCGCTTAGCCTTGTCGCTATTGAATTTATTGACCTTGGAAGGGCAATCGGGGTGTCCAACTGGGTTGTTCCGATAGATGACCAATGCCTCCGGCCTTGCCATGCGTATCTTCTTCACTGTGTCTGTCAGGTATTGCATGAACTGCTTGTCTGGCATAGTTTGATGAATAGCGCCCAAAATGACCGTGTCCTTGAGCTTCATATCTCGCAACCAGGCCATTTCCACCGGATCCTGGATCTTCGTCTCATTAAGCCGGCTCTTGTGCGGCCTTATGGGAGACAACAAGTCGTTCCTAACAAACTTGAGATGAACATTGTTTGGCAGTGGGCAGAGCGGGTGTCCAGCGCCGAAATGGCAGGTCAGGTCACCGTAGCAGACCTGTGGAGTGTCAAACATGTTGTACATAATCGAATCGTGCAGTTGCCAGTGAATTAGGTCGCCAACGAGTACAATATGCCTGGGACCCAGGGTCCTGCAAAAGTCATCAGGATGGATTCTGTTCGCGTGCCATCCTCTGCCGGTTGCGCCTGCAGATGTTGAGACTGAGTTGACTATGGGTTTCCAATGATACTTGCCCGCCTCTGGGAAGGGTGGTCGATTGATCGCGACATCTCGATCTCGCTCGTTCTTCTTCTTCTTGTTCCACCCCGTCGCGCCTCCAAACTCGGGGTAGTCCCTATAGGGTTCGTAGACCCATCGACCCTGATTTAAGGCTTGGTCCATTAGTTGGCGGAACCGTCTCGTCTTTCCTACCGTGTCCAACTTTGTACCAGGGATTCTTTCCTCAAAAAACTGGTACTCCTCCGGCATCTTTGTGAGAACAAAATCGCGTGCTGTCTTGATAGCGGTCTGCATCAAGGTCGCATACATCTGAACGGTTTTGATGTCGGTAAGTTTTGCTAACTTGCGTTGCATAGCGAGTTTGCTGCTGAGGTTTACCAGGATTTCTTTTTGTTGAGATTGTTGCATTTCGCGCAGAAGCTGCAGTTGTTGTGATATCGGCGATGAAGAAGCATCCTGATCCTGATCGTCATCCTGGCTTTGGCGTCGGTCGTGAAGCAATGTATGAATAGAATAGAGTACTGGGTTCTGCTGTCTCTCTTGGAATGCCGGATGTGTGGGGACCGAAAACGAGGCTTCAACTTCATCCACGTTCTGAAAGAACGCTTTCCGTCTGTAGTCCTTTGGATTACTTGCATCGGAAGCGGTCGATTTTCCATCTCCTGCCACCTGGCCTTGTCTAACAGAAAAATCCTGCTGGCGTTGTTGCTCCTCCTCGTTGCGTGACAACAATCCCTTCTGGTACATACCCTCTTCCTGGGCATGTCTCATCACATAGTACGGGATAATGCAGCCCATGGCGAAGTACAAGATCACCAGAGCCCGGAATCGAAATTTAGTCGTCCGCCGTCGCCCAAACATCCGAAAGGTGCCCCCGCTACTCCCGCCAGCGCTATGCGAAAAGTAAGGCGAGGTTCCTGAAAGAGGCCGCCCACTGATCGATACCATGGTATCTATATGCTGCTACTGCCTCTTGGTTTGAATCAAAAAGGCTGCGCCCGTGCAAATGAGGCGAATATGAAAGGCGTTTGGTAGGGGTGGAGAAGAGTGAAAGGTGTGAAATTAACAGGAAGGGCCAAGATGGAGAAAGTGTCTCCGGGAAAGAAGAATAGAAACAATTTTCTCCTATTTTTTTGGCACATTCCACGACATAATAAGGAGTAAGCAAGTTCTCCTTGAAAGTCCTTGTTTTTTGACCGCATTCAAATACCAATACATCGCAACTTGGTTTTATTTCATAGGCAATCTGGATCTGTATGTTGACTACAACTCATCGTGCTTCTTTTTCGTCTCACCCTTAGAAACAACGCTAGGCATGTGCACCTCGGGAACGACATCCTGATCTCCTAGCATCTCCGTATTCGACAGGCGACATACAGCAGGCGTCCTGAACTTAAATAGATATTCGCACCTATTTGATTCGGATATGGACACAATCTCGTTCACCGCCCCACAACTCATCACAACCTAGAAAAAAAAAAAAAAAAAAAAAAAAGAGAATGCTGTGTCAGCACGCTTTCCTATACATCAAGTCGTATATAGTGCATTGAGAGGATCTTTGTTACATTGACAGAGCGCTCAGGCCCGTTCCAGCACCTGAGACCGCCGGTGTACAACTGTGTATCGTAGTTGTTACCGACCCAAGACGAGAATGTGCTACAAAAAACCATTAAGCAGCGAGCAGGTTAGAGCCACTATAGATGTCACTCTTGGTGTTGAACAAGAACGCCATGGATTCCTACCCAAGGGAAGTGTCCCCGTTTGATTTTTGCGTTGCACTGCCAAACAGGCATAGCGAGTACGTGTATCTAGGATGGCACAAGTAAGCAATTTGCGAACGATTAGAGCCACTTTCGCGGTTTGGTTCATAAATCAATTGTGCGTACCACGACTTACTCTATATCCTTGTACTCGAAGCATTGGTCCACGAGCTGAGCAAAGGTCTCGTCCTTTCCGAAGTCCATCTCGAGCTTGCGTTCGATAGCCTTAATCTCTTCCTCAATCTTTCTCTCTTCCTCAGACGCCTTGTTGTATGCTTCTTGGATACGCTCCGTCTCTATGGTTTGACACGATAAACAATGGCGACATCAGTTTTATATTCCGTACTAGGCGTTTCAGTATATATCAGCTTTGCATTCCGTATTAGACATCTCATTATATATCCTAGACCTGATGACAAGCACAAAGCTGTACCTGACTTGGATTCATAGAACAAAAATCCGAGGCCAACGCTTTTGGCAATGTTTCGAGCACGTCCATATATAGCGCCCAAGGTTTCCTTGCTTTCTTTGCCTATCGTTTTCATAAAGCGTAGGTTTAGCATGGCGTGTTCGTGACCGACAGCTCGAGAAAAAGTCGAGGAAAAATGAACCCCTATACCTTGATCTTCGAAGTTCGGCAATACTTCTTCTGGAATCTCGATGAGCTTCTCTCCAACGAACTCGTCCAAATCATTATCCCATTGTGGGGCAAACTCTTCGAAAGCTTTGATGGCTTTCAAAACCGCCTCGTCGTTGTACTCCGTGTTGTAGGTCTCCTTCATCGTCTTGATCAAATGGAACATCCTTCCAATCTCCTTTCGCGCGTAGTATGTTTCACTCTGCAGCGCCATCAAGCGTTGTTTCGCAGACAGCTCCTTGTTTTCATCCTTCTTTCTCTCCTTCCTCTCCTCCTCCCTCTGTGCTGCATCTGCGGCAGCCTGCTTGAGTTCCTCAAGGTATTCGTCAAATCCAGAAATAGTGTCCTTAACTGCGAGATCATGATAATTCTTATTGTGATTCTCCTTCAGCTCTTCCAGGGTAGTGCGGAGCAAATTCTTGGCTTCAATCGCACGGACAAGTCTCTGGCTTTGCTGCTCGATCAGTGGTGCCAATTGGATTTCTCGTGCCTTCTTGCGCTCGGCCTTTGTGCTTTCCAAATATTCCTGCTGCTTTACTTTCACGCTGTCCAGTTCGGCTGTTTATCCATTTTGAAAATAAGGACAGTTTTTGTAAGTTTGCTCCGCGCTCGATATCTCTTGGGTGTTGAATCACGTACTGTAATGACGATTGTTACCTTTTGTATCTGCTGCCTTTTGCCTGATCTGTGTCGCCTTGACCTGTACTTTCTCTAATTGCTCTTGGAGCCGTTTTTTGGCATCCTTACCATACGCGATATAGCCCTTTCTGATGTCGCTTCCTTCCCTCTCGATCTTGCGGATCCTCTCTCGCTCCTTCTTGGCCTCTGTGCCAACTTCTTCGCATATATTGGGGCAGTGCGTGTTTCCATCGTATTCATCCGTCCCGTCGCAGCATTCCGGGTCGCAAACGCCATCGTTCACTCGGGAACTTATGAGGTACGCTGGGATATGCCCAGCATTTTCGCAGTAAAAGTATGAGTTCCCGCACGCCGAGGTTCCTATTACAATGGCGAGGGATAGTCAACATCAGCGTCAGTATCCTGTCTATTGTTTGGCATCATACCTTTTTGGAGTTCCTAAAGCGTCAAAAAGGCGTTACGTACCTGGCTCATCCGATCCATCGAGACAGTCGCAGTAGTCGTCATTGATAGCTGTAAAAGGTACCACCTTTGTTCCATCAAAGCACTGCCAATTTCCAGCGCTGTCCGGGGTATACAACTTGGATCCTAGTTGAAAAAAGCAAGAAAGCAGGAGAAGCAATTCAGTTTTCTCGAATTCATTCGAGTCTATCCTAGACTCAACTATAGTTTAAGCTCTTCGATAATAGACCACCACCTACTCGATGGAGCTACACCTCGGGGTCCCCTGGTATCATGGACGTTGGCCTGCGCCAAGTCAAGTGCCAGGGTGACCAAGATTGGAACGCACAGAATACGGGCTTTCATGGCGCACAAAAGGAGTGGAGGGTTGAACTTGTTTCTTTTTATGCAATAAACACGATTGCCTTCAGAGTTTGAGGAATCCAGAGTCGCGTCCTGATTCGAAGCTGTTCGAAAGGCTGATGAGGATCTGTTGATCAGTGCATCCCTCGATTTTGACCAATAAGAGACGAAACGCAAGGTTTGATCTGATTGGCTATCTCAAACTCGGGGACGCGCCCTCAGATACACGCCTGTCTTGAATGCTTCACATCGCGCTGCAGGCCACACAGTAGCATGAGGACCTGGTTCTTTTTGCACGTTTGGACAACTGGCCGACCAAGTGCTGATCCGTCGAGGATCTGATGCTAAACTCGTGTCTCGATTGCCACGTTTTTTCATGTATCTTGGAGTGTTGATCGAACGGCGATTGGTTCCAGCCAAATCATTCAAGATAACTCTGGTAGGTATCTCGAACACAACACATGGCCATGTATGTACGTACTACAAAGGTACAGAATGACAGTTTTTGAGCAAAACTAAATGTAACGGAGAAAAAATAAATAAATTCTTTGGCGACTTTGGCCGCATGCACTGGTCTGCAACACATCGTTGTGAAGAGGAGAAGCAGCGATTACATTAAGAAAACTCTTCAACATCTATGCCCTGCTCCAGATGGCGGAGCGCTATCAAACCTAAGCAGCAGCGCATGGCTACGCTCATCGAGGATGGCTAGCCTCTGGTCAACGGAGCAAAACAAAGAGATTTGATCATGGGAACAGCTTGAGGCGATTCGGTCATTGTTGACTTTGTGCATTTACCTTCGTGAATAAAGTTGGAAATATATGGAGTGAACGCAAACGATCGGCAGATCAATAGATGTAGAGTAGATACTAGCAGACCATGACTGTTAGCACAGATTGTGGCCGAATCTGTGTTTGCCAAATAACGCCTGATCCCTTATTGCGTTCTCTCAGCGGAATGGTGACAAAAAGACAATGCACATACCTCCCCTGGTCTGCAGACATTTCAGTGCACAAACATCAATGTTCAAGGCAGAAGGAGCCCAATTGTACGATGGATACGTGTCGTCGCATTCTCTCTGAGAGGCTTTGGATGAAAAAAGAAAGAAAAGAAAAGAAAACAAATGAGAGGCGCAATGCAGCATCTACACTTCATGCAAGGCAAAGCAAGGCAGACCAAGAAGGAATTATTTTAGTGCGGCATGCACTGAGAGCAATGGAGTGACTAGAACCCATGCTGTCTGGTGGGAGCGGATGCAGATGTATGAACAGAATGTGCATTTGAGCAGCGCTCTCATCTTTTGTCCGTCATATTCAAGATGTAGTAGAGAGAGTAGGGTTCATCATCATAGTGGATGAGCACGCAACACAAATGTGGGGTGTGTACAGAGAGTTGTGTGAGCGTGTGAGTAAGTGCCTATGTGGATATTGGGGGTTCTGCACTAGCCCTTCCTAGACGGGCCCAGAACGTGGGATCAACCCGTTAATGTATGTGTCTACTACTTCCTCGGATCGATCTTTCCCAATACAGCTCAGTTCCTTGGTTTTTCGGTATTAATGTAGCACACACAAACTAATGCATTCGCATTCCCATTTACCCCATTTCCCTCGCCCCTTGTCGTGGCTCTGGAATCTATCGTATCCTCATCCAAGCGACCAATTTAGGGAACTATATAGCAATTGCTCCGAGACCTCATCGATGTTCTTTTTTTATAATGCTTCAGATGGCACAATGGCATTCGAGTGGAGTCTTTTGTTCTAGGATGGAGCAGCGTAAAAAGACCTTTTTGATGTGCAATTGATATACAAGATCAGACATTAAAGAGGGCAGAGCAATAGAAAATTCAGTTACCAAAGATATTTATGGACGTGGGAGGAGATAACAAAAAAAAAAAGAGAGAGAGAGTGGTGGGGCGATGTGCGGTACCTGAAGATATGTAAGATCCGAAGTACCTGCGGGTTGGAATGTCGAGGCATGCTGGACTGTAAGCATGAGATTAAGATTTTGCACTATGGCGAACCTTAAATGCGCCTTCAAATGAATACGTTTAATATAGTTTTCTGTTCCTGACCCCTGTTTTTCTTTTCTTCTTGTTCTTTGCTTCCTCCATTCGCACCCAGCGCGCACCATTCCATTCCATTCCATTCCATTCCATTCCATTCCATTCCATCCCATCCCATCCCATCTACCAGTAACGACTCATCCATCTCGACATTCCTCCTCGTCTCAAGGGCTACCTCTTTTTTTATTTTATTTTGATCACCCTTCCTGAACCCTTACTCTCCACAATAACTGAAGTCGTACACTCCTTCCCCTGTCCCCCTCCTTCTTCGCACTGCACCTCAACCAACTTTCTCTAATGGATTATCCATCTGCACAGCATCGCACCCAGCGGGCACACAGCATGGCTACAGACTCCAGGGCAAAGTGCGGCCCTTTCTACAAGGATGCCTACCATAGCAACGAGCTCGACTACCACCTGCCCTCTCTACCGCCCACTTCGCCTTTCACCGCCATCTCAGACCTTACGCCTGAAGTCGATCTCTACAAACGACCAACATCACCTCCACTCCCTGCCAATCCACCTGCTGTCCCTACACTTTCCAAGACAGATTCAAAAAAAGAAGTAAAATCACCACAGCGACTCAAAAGGGAACAAACGGTGCTGAAGCTGCAGCAGCAACAACAGCAGGCCCTCGAAAAGTTCAAGCAGGACAAGCTCGATCAGCAGTACTCAAAGGTCGATCGCAAACAGAAAAAGGATGAGTACAAGCAGATGTACCAGAGTCAGCACGACTATGAGAAGCAGATGGAGACTAAAGTCGAGAAGCGTCAGCAACGGTCGTTGCCTATCTATCCAACTACATCCTCGTCCACTTCCTCCGGACAGAGCAACAATACTCTGACGGATCTTTGGAGTTCACAGTCGACATCACCATCAAATGAGATCTACTACCACTCCAGTCGATATTACCACCGCAAACATCCTACACACCTTGCCGACGCCAAACCACATCAACAGCATCAGCACCTCAGCAGCATCTCCTCCTCTACCTCTACATTCACTCACAAGACAAAATACCAAAACGAGAACATGCGCTCATTGAGTCTGAAGAGTTACTCCACAAAATCCATGTATGATCTAAGACCGTGGTCCGCCACGCCTCAGTCCCCGGTCTTTGATTACCATTCGGGCTATGACAGCGACGACACCGCCATGTCTCATGGCTGGGATTCTCTCATGGACACACTACATTCTCCAACATCTGTACCCTCTCCTATATCCTCCCCTGGCTTGGACTCTTCGTTCAAGGACGAGACAGACGTGGAGCAGATCGATGCCTCATTAGAGGACCTTGCTCTTAGCCACAGCGACAACAAGAATGGCAATGGCAGATACTTGCTAGGTAAGGGCTAACTACCATAGCTCGTCCTTCTACCTTTCTACCCCCTTCCCTTACCACTTCTTTTCTATATTGTCGATGACCATCGTTCATCCGCCAATTGCCAGCATGTGCGCAGTTGTTCCAACGCTTTTTTTTAATTTATCTTGCGAAAGTACCCATTCGAGCAATGCCCTCTTTTTTAATTACTATTGCTATTTGACAGTGAGCGTACCCACGCCCCCTCCCTTCCTCCCTTACGAGTAGAAATCCACTTCGTCTGGATGGCGTTTGGTCGCCACTAGTGCGCTCTTTAGATTTGTAGATGGACCTAATATTGGCACGACGTTCACTACAACATAGCTCTAAATTTCTTTTTGGTTGTCCTCTGTCTTTTTTTACTCCTTGACCATAGTGATGGGTGCCAATGGTCGGACAGGTATCGAGGTCGTGAAGCAAGGCCTAGCGCGGAACTACCGAGTGACAGCCTTTGTCAGGGACGACAAGGCTTTCCTCGAGGATAGCACCCTTCGCAAGAACCACAACCTTCTCATCGTGCGCGGATCGCCAACGTGCCAGGCGGACCTTGACCGATGTGTCGAGGGACAGGACGTGGTCGTCAATGTGATTGGGGTAAGGGCATTTATTTTCTGTTCTGTAGCCTTTTTTTTTTTTCATTATGTTACAAACGGATGCTGACAAGAACTTCCCCGATTTCTTAGGCGCGACTCATGTCAAACGATACAACTATCAGCTCGCATTCACAGGTGGTTCTTAATAATGCGATGAAGAAGCATGGTATGTGTCCTATCTCGATTTTAATACCAGTCAAATACACGCCTTACTGGATACCTAATTCTCAGCAATTCTCGTTCACTTCATTTTGTGTGTACTACTAGGTGTGCGACGACTGATTGTAGTCACGTCCTATGGTTGCCTAGGTCTTCGTAACTACCTGATCAGCACTAAGAAGCTGTTCTCCCGCATGTTCATGACTGGGATTCTGAAAGATAAGGTTCTCCAGGAGGACATTATTCAGCGCGATACCCCGTTCCTGGACTGGACCATTGTTCGACCCATCACCCTCAAAGATGGCGATTTGTCTGAAAAATATTGGGTCAGTTGCGATGAGTTGCCAAATACCAACAAGGTCAAGGTCCTGACGCGGCGGGATCTGGCACATTACCTGCTTGGGATCATCAACGCGCGTGAGGAGCATCATGCGATCCGTAGCATTGCAGGCAAGCCCAAGCCAAGCAAAGCGAAGACGATGTGCCCGTTTGAACGGAGACGCGAGGCAGCGGAGCAGGCACGACAACTGAAAGAACAGCAGCAGTAGGAATTTCTTACTACTCAATTGCCACCATACCTTTCATACATAGAGCAATGATAAATGAATGTATTCTAATGTACCATGTCATGTCGTGAATCTGCAACTCCACTCGTGTCCATCTGAGTGCCATGTATGGAGCATATCGTGCTGAATTCTGGCGACATACTGTCACGCTGGTTTATTTGTAACTCTTGCTGACCTAATATGTGGAGAGAGGAAGTGGCCCTCGGAGGAGCGCAATGGGCACCCAACAAAAAAAATAAAAGAAAAAGAGCCAACGGAAGTCTGAGAAGGATCCATTTGGCATGCAAACATGGAGGTAGACTAGACAACAGCCATACAGCCATTGCGATGGCTTTTTTTTTTCCTTTGGACGCACAGTAACGGCGATGACTTGCATTGTCCATCTCCCCCTGGATTGTGGACTTTTGTAGGCACCTTGTGCTCCTGTGATCCCTGCTGTTGAGCGTGTGAGCCCTCGTCTGAGATCCTGCTGGACACACTCTTCTCCATTCTTTTCTTTCTTCTCTTTCCATTCATCCTCCTTCCTCCTTCCCCCCTCCAGATTCATCAACCGAGTAATCGAGATCCAGACATGTCGTCCTCGCAAGCAACCGACACCACCCCGTTGCTCCGCAATGACACTACCTCGACCGACATCAAGAAGAAGCATGGTGTCCGGCAGCATCTCCTGGACATGACCCCACTACAGAGCTTTCTCTCCCTCCTCGTCTTGGCTGCCACGGTCGCACTGGGCGTTTATATGATGATAAAATACAGTCTTCCCAAGGATCTGACCGAGTAAGACCTGCTTCTGTGCAGCGTTATGCCCTGAATTGTCGTCCTCTCGTCCAATTGAAACCTGATAATTAACTCCAGTGCACTGACAACTCGCCCGTCTTTTACCTGCTGCTGACTGCATTCGAAAAACAATAGCGAACAGAGACAATGGCTCAAGTTCCCGAGGAATGCAGAGGATGTGCAGCATTTGAGTATTATTCTCGAGTCTTACGTATCCCAGCACTACTATCAGGTTATGGCCTGCTTCATCGTCACCTATGTCTCGTAAGTGTTGCATCCTCACCGTTTAACCCGGAGCAATCGCTTAAGAGACCACGTTTCTCATCGCCTACATGTTCTCATTCGCCGTTGCTTGTTCTTTAATTCTTCCAGAATGCAAGCATTTGCAATCCCTGGCTCGGTGATGCTTTCGGTTCTTGGAGGTGCCCTGTTCAAGTTCTGGATTGGCATTGCTGTTGTTTTGTTCTGCGCAGGTTTCGGTTCGTTGTGCTGCTATTCCATTTCGTACTATCTCGGTCATCCAATTGTGGAGAAGCATCTCAAGGACAGGATCGCAAAACTTCAGGTCAAAGTGAGTGAGCGAGCTTGAGCAAACAAAAACATTTGTCAGACGACTGGGGCAATAATTGGAGATCTAATTTTTTTTTTTCCCTTTTATTGCAATGACTAGATTGACGCCAAGAGGGATCAGCTTTTCTTCTACTTCGCCTTCTTGCGCGTTACGCCCTTCGTCCCTAGTATGTTGAGACTTGACATCGATGGTCGCTCTGTGGGTTCATTATTCCGTGGAAGTTGTTGATGATGCTGACATAGCCTCCAACTTTAATAGACTGGTTCATGAATGTCGCTTCGCCCCACTTGGGGATTCCAGTTCTCATCTTCTTCTTTGGAACCCTTGGTAAGGCGATATCTGCCGCTGTTTGCTGTATCGAGCGTTAAATACCATGCTTGCTCCACAATTGCTGACCCGTGTTCTTCTTTCACTATAAATTGGCACATCATATAGTTGGCGTTCTGCCCAACACTCTCGTCACCGTACAAGCTGGTGTCACCTTGGCCGCCCTGGCTTCGCCCGATGATTTTACGTTGCTGACGCCCCAGAATATTATCATGACGGTTGTCATATGTATCTGCTTACTGATGCCCATTGTGCTTCATCGCAATGCTGAGGATCCTCTGGCCACACCCAAACCCACGGATGAGGAAACTGATCCCCTCTCTCGCGTTTAAAGTAACAAAAGAATACCCTTTGTCTGTAGTATATACCTCCTCTAGGAATAGCACACAATGAATAAAGATGTCATTTGCATTCATTGCCAGGCCCTACTGTGAAATGGATTAGTTTATTAACTAAGTGCATAATGAACAATTCATGAGTGTTGATGTGAACATCGGACAAGACTTCCTTCCAAGTTAATGAAAGGCGAACGGTACACAGCTCAAAGGGCTGGGGATCGACTGCATTTTCTCGTCTCTTGTACGCAAGACGATATCACCGCTACAGTCATAGCTGCCATAGAAGACGTGCTTATTAACGGAAAGACCCCTTGCACGACCGCACCGCGGAGCAATGCAGGTAAACACAACGGTCAGTATTTTTCTTAGCAGCACGTCTTGAAGTCCCGGTGATGAGGGCTCTCGATGTCTAGAGAGTTGACGCTTGCACTTGCGAAGCGCCTGGACGTGAGGGAGGAATAAAGAAGCGATGGATATCTGAGTGGATGAATTGGCTACGCTAACGTAGCTGTTCTCACGGATACAGACTACGATGGATTGGAGTATGCAAAAGGCACAGGCTAGGTTATCGACTTTCAATCTCTTGAAGTACAAAACAGAGGCGACAATGCTAAGGGCCATGACGCTGAAAGTCAGACTTGTGGATTTTATGGTAGGTGAAGAGAATGCGTGAAGAGAGTGTACGCGCCTTTGGTTGAGTAGTGAGAGGAGTGATGCTTCCTAAAGACATATTGATAGAGGTATATGAACAATGTTTTTCGACCAAGGGTAAAGCGCGTAGGACGACAGCGTTTGAGTTTGTGTCATGTTTCAGAAACTCGTAGTATCAGTTCTAATTGCAGTGGCCAGAAATAGCGAAACGCGCTTCCTTTTTCTGGTATTTATATCTTTGTATGTGGCATGGTGTGAGGACAAAGAGAGACGATTGTTCCATATATGAACAAAGATGTCAGATTGAACGATGTTCCCACTTGTGCTGGAATCGTATCATGATGGAAAATTGTCTGAGAATGTGCATGGACCGTTCATCTTTTTTTTTTGGCCTCCTACATTGTACCACGCATTACGCCGATACCGCAATGCTCGCATCGAGTGCACCATTGGGCCCAACCGTTACAGGGGCAACGTAGGGACACTCGGTTTCCAGATTCGCCCGTGTTATAAGCAACTGTGGTAAATGAAAGGGGTAAAGTTCGATATGATCCTTCGGCCAGTCTTTTTTCATGCTCGTCCTCCTTTTGAATGTTACCCCCACCTCTCATTCATCCCAACTTCTTCACTACCAACACCTTCTCTCGCTCTTTATTCATCATGGACCCCGAAACAGCACTGGCCCATTGGACACGACTAAGCAAGAAAAGCACCAAAGATTTTATAAAGACCATCCAGGAGGATATCATCGCATCTGACAACATCCAGGATCCGGTCTTTGGCAAGAAAAAGTCAACCTATGTCGACTGGATTGGGTCGAACAGGGCGCTCCGAACTTTTGAGAGCATCATCAATGAAACTGTCCTTCCGTATTGCGCCAGCACACATTCGCACACCACCTCAACATCTCGGTCAACAGCTGCTGCTATACACCACTCACGTGCTGCCGTTGCTAAGAGCCTTAATGCTCAAACTGTGAAAGGACATCAGCACGAAGCTGTTGTCATATTCTGTGGGTAAGAACAATATCCCGGGAGAGTGACCGGTCCGCTTGCCATATCATATTTGTCTAACAGAAAACCTCATGATGAACAGCGGTGGTGCTGCGCCAGCAATCCTCAAGCTCAGGGATACGTTTAGACTTGCAGATGAAGCATTTTGGACTCAAATGTCGGCCGTTGATCAACAGCGCGTAACAGCTAGTCAGGCCACCCCATCAACTACTGCACCTCTGTTCGTGGAATCGTTTGATCGTTTGCCTTCAGGATCTCGACCGGTCGTGTTTATATCCGCTCAAGAAAACGACTACAACATCGTACCATGGAGAGACAGCGTCGCGGACGTGGTGGTGATTCCAGATACTGCAGATTGTGTCCCGGACCTGAGACAACTCGAAGAGCAATTGGTTCTACACTGGGAAAGACCTCTGAAACTAGGATCCTTTTCTGCCGGCAGCGGCTTGACCGGCGTCTTGGTAGGATATTTTGTACCTCCTGGGCTTTCTATTGCTCATGTTGCCATCCGTGAGCTAAGGTATGCATCTTTTCCGATTTCGTGGTTTCCAGAACAACACTGTAGCGATTGCAGAAATACTGCATAAATACGATGCACTCGCATTCTTTGACTACTCAGAAGTAGGCGCCTACACTCCAATCGACATGAACCCTCGCCCGAGCAACAGCTATACCATGATGCGCGACAGCAGGGCCTACAAGGACGGCGTCTTCATCAACCCGAACACCATGCTCGGAGGCCTTGGTTCATCTGGAATCCTCGCCGCGCGGCTCGAGATTTTTTCTTGGACAGAGCGGCATGGCCCCATGGAGAGGAGCAAGTATATTCCAGCGAGACCAGGTGTTGGAGCAGTCGACTTTGCCATGCGACGGATACACAAGTACGCCGATAGCGTGGTCGTTCGAGAGGAGGCAGATACCCCCAACACCCTGGCAAACATTCGAGCAGGTCTCACATTTCGGTTGCAACAGATCATGAACCCGAGACTTATCCTGGCCAAGGAGAACTGGCACGCAGCAGAGGTTTTTCAGCGACTCTCCAACCCTGGCAACAACATCGTGATTCTGGGCACACCCAAGATTGAACGCATTGCGTTGTTTTGTGTAACGGTCTCCGTCCCTCAGCTGTCGACTCCCCTGAAGCAGCTGCAGATCCACTATTCGTTGCTGGGCATGATCATGAACGATTTCTTTGGAGTCGAGATGGGTTGTGGACGCGTGGCTGCTGGACCCTATGCCATGGAGCTCCTCAAGGTTAACACTATCAAAGAAAAGGCCATGTGGAATCTCTTACTTGGAAATATTGCTGATGAGAAGGGAAGGTTCGGGGACCGATGGGGCTCCAGGACAAATGTTGGATGGAGCAGCGCAGCGAGAGACGGTGAGCCAGGAAATGATGACATCCATGTGGACAAATTGTCCTTGCCATTCATGAAGCCTGGGTTCGTACGGTTTAACTTTCCTCATTTCGCGCGCGAGAAGGATGTTGATTTTGTATTGGAATCACTCGAATGGGTTGCGCAGTACGGATTTTTACTGATTCCGCTCTACCGCCTGGACACGATGTCCGGCACCTGGTCGGTGCGTCCAGTCGTCCGCCATGCGATCTGTCGGTCCTTGAACTCCAAGCGACTCAACAGCGGAAATCGTGCTGACTATATCCGGGTGGCAACTGATTGTATCTACGGCCTTCAGACACTATTCAAGTTACAGCAAAAGGAGATTTTGGACAACACTTCTTCATCACCCTATGCACCCTCCGAAACTGCCCCTACTGGAGTGTTTCACCCTCTCAACCAAGCAAGAAGATCCCTCCGCAACCTCTTTTCCGGGAGCAGGACTCACCTGCCGTCTTCAAGTGCTAGCCTTGCGATGTCCACAACGAACGTGCCTCAGACGATACCCTCGCCATACCCACACCAAGAAAATTTTTCGTTTATTGGTCTTCACGCGAACAACTCGTCCATGTCTATGACGTACTACCCACCTCTCCCGACCCACGCCCTGATGGAGGATGCCAGTCCATTAGGACGAGGTGGCGGTCCCTCCAGCGCAGATTTGTCGATCGAGGTGCTATCCGGTACGGATTCCAGTCCCCGATCCTTCGGTAGTTCGTCTGGCACTACCGCTGTTGCGATATCACCGCCCAAGTGGTATCGGCAGTCCACCTCCGATACGATCACGAAGGACGCTTTAGAGGAGTTATCATGGGCGAGACTTGAGGCTGAGCTCAGTGCTATTGAGACAAGTGCGCTCGCGAAGCAGCTGCGATGGTTTGTCAGTCCATTGGAGGTAGCAGAGCTCTACGTAAGCAATTACTCAGCCGGGCCTGGATCGTTACCCTGTTTCCCCCCACGAATCGCCAAGAAGAATGGCTGTAAAGGCTAGGGCTACAGCTCTATTTTTGTCAATTGAAGAGGGGATTATTCTACTTGGACAATGTCAATAAAACCGATAGGAGATTAGAGAGAGAAAAAAAACAATTGAAGGTACATCCAGGGTACAGGTACAAACCTGCTCACGGATGAATGCTGCTACTTCATAGCCCTAGTGTTGCCCTCTTTTCACTCAAGGGAGGGGGCTGGAAATGCGGCACCCACACCCCCTCCCCTGCCTTGGTTTGTACCCCCATAATCAAAGATTCATCTGTCCGCGGAGTTCATTTTTCCTTGCACTCTTGTTTATAAGGTGTCCTCAACCTTGTTCATGCCCTCTCTTAAAAACATAGCACGTCGACCCTCACTAACCCCTACCGACCTAATCCTCCTACTTACACCCCCTTACTACCAACCCCACACATCATGGATCCAGACACAGTACTCGACCACTGGGCTCGTCTGAGCGAGAAGAACACCAAAGATTTCCTTCGCGCCGTTCAACAAGATGTCATTGCATCTGCCGCTATCCACGATCCACCCTTTGGCAAGAAGAAATCCACATATGTCGACTGGTTCGCGTCCGGGAAGCCGCTCAAAACATTCGAAACCATCATGCAACAATCCGTCCTGCCATACTACGCCAATACACACACATACTCGACCTCAACAGCTCGGTATACCTCCACATCTGTCGCCAATTCAAGGAGGATCGTCAGTCGATGCCTGAATGCTCAAACAACAAAGGGGCATCCCCACGAAGCCGTGGTCCTGTTTTGCGGGTAAGGAATAGTAAGACAAGGGAGCCCCATTCCCCACCCCTTTATCTCCCTCAGTCCTCGATGTCTTTACAGAAAACCCTAATTCGAAAACACTCACACGCAACGTGTTGTGGTTCTCATGTGTAACAACAGTGATGGATCAACAGCAGCTATCGCCAAGGTACGCAACGTCTTCCGCCTTGGCGACCCTGGATTCTGGTTCCGAAAAGCGCATTCCGAACATGCTGTTTGCTCCGGAGACCTGAGCTCGACTTTCTCCATCTCTGATACCACATCCCCATCATCAGCACCGGACTCGAGCCTGTGCCAGAGAGTCTATGAGAGGCTTCCGGCACAGTACCGGCCTGTGGTTTTTGTTTCGATCCAGGAGCATCATTCGAATCTGTTGCCATGGCGCGAGAGCTGTGCAGACGTTGTGGTGATTGGCGAACATAGCCGGCATCGATTGGATCTCGATCAACTGGAGATGCAGCTGCAGAAGTACCGTGAACGACCCTTGAAAATTGGGTCTTTTTCGGGGGGTAGTAATTTAACAGGGGTGTTGGTTAGTGAAAGAGTTTTATTTGTTTGTTTGTTTGTTGTGGAACAGATAGCCCCCTTTCATTCATTCACACATCTCCCTTCTATCCATCTCAATTTTTTTTTCCCACCGCGGACGATCGATTTTGCGCATTCTATAGAATGATACTGTCGCGATCGCAGAGCTCCTTCACAAATACGACGCCTTTGCGTTCTTTGACTATGCTGGCGTCGGTGCCTACACGACCGTTGACATGAACCCTCCCCCTAGCAACAGCTCCTTACCGATGCACGAGAGCAAAGCCTACAAGGACGGCGTCTTCCTCAGTCCACACAAAATGGTCGGCGGTCCTGGCTCGTCCGGTGTCCTTGTTGCCCGACTAGAGATCTTTTCGTGGGCGGAACAAAATAGTTCGACAAATCGCAACGAGATCTTGCCGTCGCATCCAGCAGGAGGCACTGTCGACCTGGTGTTCGACAACAAGCACAAGTATGTCAAGGACGTCGTTGCAAGGGAAGAGCCTGGCACACCCAATATCCTGGCCACCATCCGCACAGGACTAGTGATGCGTCTGCAGGAGATCATGGGCCCAAAGTTAATTTTGGAAAAGGAATACAGGTTGGCGACGTATATCTACCACCGTCTGCTGCAGAACAATAATATCGAGATCTTGGGTACACAGGTGCTGAGCCGCGTGGCAGTGTTTAGTGCTATGATCTCCATCCCGGTCCTCTCGACTCCAGAGCGGCCGATGGAGATCCATTACTCGCTCCTCAGCGCAATCATGAACGACTTTTTCGGGATCGAGATGCGCGGTGGGTGCATGTGTGCTGGTCCGTACGGCGCGAAGCTGCTCAAGCTCACCCCCGAGAAGAAGGCCACACTTTGGGAACTCATGGTGGGGGCCGACAATGGAAACGACGACGACTATCAGACGACCTACGACAACTGCGGACGCAGGATCAAAAAGAACCTTCACCAGCAGGACCTGGCCTCATCAGCGTTCAAGCCTGGATTCGTTCGATTCAGCTTTCCATATTTTGCGCGGGACAAGGATGTGGAATTTGTGCTACAATCGTTCGAATGGGTCGCCCAGTATGGATTCCTGCTGATTCCGCTTTACAGGCTGGATGGCGAGTCCGGCATGTGGTCAATTCGGGAAGCGGTTCGTCGAGCTGTTAATTTGGAGATCAGCCCCAGGAGGTTCGCCAGCGGACTTCGAAGCGATTACATACCCGTTGCAACAGACTGTATCTATGGTCTTCAAAAGCTGTTCTCCCATCAAGCTCGGATTAGTGCTCCAGCTGGGGTCCCGACAAAGGCTTCCGATGCATCTCGACCATTCACACCTGAGGGGCAAAGCAGCAGTTGGCTGAATTCAAGGATGATCAACACGCCCAACCAAGCTGGGGAATCCTCGTTACGACTATCCAGTATGGGAAAATCGGCTGCGCATTTGCGAACAAGCAGCAATACACATGGGCCTACATCTATGGTCGTTCAGGATTCCAGTTGCACAGCCAAGACGCCCACTCATCCAATATCCCGCAGTTCCTCCGTCGCAAGCTTGTCTGGTGGCCATGATCCACATCAGCAAGTTTACGAGACTATCCACGGTTATCAGTCCCCATATAATACCTCCCATCATCCTACAGAGGTCGGTTCTCAGGGACATCTCTCTGTCAATGGATTGGTTCAAGAACCCAGTTCGGGTCGGAGTTCGCCCTCGATCTTTTCATTCAATCGCCCACGTTTGTTCACCCACGGTACGTCGTCGTCTTTTGGATCCGCTGGAAAGATGGGTGCCGTACATCCTACTTCTGATGCGGCGACAGCAAATCAGATGAAGATTAGTCCCGCGATGAGTGCAGCGCTGAAGGAGCTGTCGATCGAGGCGTTGGAAGAGGAGATGTCCAAAGTCGATTGTAATCCTCTCGCAGCATCTATACGACAGTTCGCGATCCCGATCGAGATCGCGCAGGTGTATATGGGACAGAATACTGGTGGGTCTGTTCCGACGTGCTTTCCTAAACGACGCAGGTAGGAGAAACAAAAGAGAAGATAAAATAAAGTTGGAAACATTTCCGTGCCTGTGGTTTGACATGATCTAACATCAACTGTCGACATGTCACACAAGACGACTTTAATATGATTAAGATTTCAGGGGTGATCAGGGTCCACAGATGAGATGTTAAATGGTCGAAGTATGCTTGTTTGAGCGCTGCATGCCCAATGTCGAGGAACCAGAATAGCAATTATGGCTTCCATAGCTATGCACGATCCCGCGATGCTTGCTATTGCCCCTGCTGTCCTGCACTTGTAATGGGACATGCCTTTCGTTCGACACGTCGGAAGTTATGGTCGGTCTATTGTAGGGTATGAGGTATGGTTGATCCTCTCCAATACTTCCAACCCCGATACAGGTCCTCTTCTAGCTCATAATTCCAACTCTACAACTCCATTAAAGTTTCGTCCTTGGCAGCTGCGAAGGAGTCCGTGGGATAAGGACAGCGTCGCATAAAACAACGATATTACAATCCCCGAGGAAAGAATGTCGTCGTCCCCTGCCAAGATCTCATGAGGCGTGAACTCAAAGTGGACTCGAAAGTTCCTATCCTCGAAATCAACACTGGCCACACTCCTGACCACGCGGATATAATCCCTCGGATGGGATCTGCCCTGCGGTCCAACTTCTAATACCGAGCGCGCACTATCTTCTTTGCGATAAATCAAAAAAATCGAAATGACAATCGCACATAGGACCGCTGTGACAAAGATGCACCAGAGAGTCCGTCGGGCCAATGTTCGTGTTTTCATGGAAGAGAGACATTTGAAAAAGCAAGCAGGGGGGGCAAGATAATGAGAGATGGGGGACAGAAGGTGAAGGTCCTGAGATGTAGACCGGATGGCTGGAAGAACAATCGCAAAAAAAAAAAAAGAAAAAAAAAAAAGGTAGCTCGAATACATAAAAAGACACCTACAGGATAACCACGAACGCTCATGACGACTGGTCACGCACTTTTCCACCTCTTCTTGATACAAAGGTAGGCAGGACAGGTATCTATGCAGACCATGGCACCTTTCCGTAGGAATGATCATGAGCATGATCCAGGTACTGCGGCATGTCTCAACAAGTAGTCCGCAACACTCGACCCGTACCTTTCTTCTTCTCTGATCTTAAGCGACGCAACGGCATATAATGCTGTTGGCCATGCGGAAGGGGTGGAGAGAACAACCAGATACACAATGAGAACCGATAGCTCCTCTTCTTACGAGCCACTAATGTTGCCGGCATAATTATTTTAGGCCGCTCTTTGGGCAAGGCAGAAGAACCCCAAATCCCTCATGGGCATCAGTGCGACATCCCCACAGAACCACGAAGGACAAGGAAAACTAACTACTGTTATCGTGCCCTTCATTTTTCTCTATTACTATGTCTAGTCCGCCTTCTGAAGGAGTATCCTTTCCAGACGCACGAACTCCGGTATCATCTCCACGTACTTCCTCGTCTGTTCCAAATCCGGCCATACCGTCGCACTCTCCCCAGACTTTCCGCCTGCGCCTTTATCGTCAACGTCCATATTCGAATCCACCTTCTCCTCCTCCTCTTCCTGGTGGTACTGAACACTAGGATCACGATCATCATGACGGCCAAACAGGAACGCCTTCCTGGCAGCACCCCACGCCGCAGATCCTGCTCCCTTCTGCTCGTTCTGGGTCTTGCTCACCACGGGCACCCCAAAGACGTTCGAGAGCAGCTGAAGAATAGCCCTGTTCGAAGATGCACCTCCAGTCGCCAAAATCCTCGAGACCCCCGGAGGTGAGAGTGATGGATTTTTCGAGGACGATGCTGATAATGAATCTCCTTGACTTGAGCGAATCCTTATCGCCAGGAATTGTGATTCACAAATTGCAAGCACATTTACCCACTGCTTCGTATCTCCATCATTCTCGTCCTCGAACTCGTTTACAGCGATTCCGTCCTCAAACCGGTACATGCCCTGGACTGGAGGCCAGATCTCGCGGTCGAAAAAATAGAATCCGATCCTAGACTTTGTGCCATGATCCGATGTGGCGGCGTCTTTCAAGTATCGATTGAACTGATCCCAGTCTCCATCCGCATACTGATCCCTGATTTTCTCTCGTGCTAGAGATCCGTTCTTGGCGCAGTACATCATCAGATACCCGCTGGGATCAACAGGGTGGCATAGATATCCGATCGAGAGTCGGGCATTGGACTGGTTGGTTTCGTTCTCCTCTGTAACCTCTGTATTTGATCGGTGCTTGTTGGTGTATAAGAGTAGCGTGTCGCTGGTGCCGAGACTGACGATCGCATCACCTTGCTCGGCATGCATCGCCATCACCGTCGCAGGATTGTCTCCAGTAAAAGATACGATGTTTACGTCTAATCGTATGCAAAATATATAAATAAAGAACAAAAAAAAAGTAACCAGCAGATGAGTATCGCATATTTCAAGAATATGCTTTAAAAAACCCCAATGGGTCTTGCAGCTGGAGACCAAACGTACCTGAACGGAATCCATATCTTTGCACGAACCACTTGCTGAGCACGCCTTGCGCCTTCTTGCCCGAGACATCAACGTCCCCAAGTTTGGTCGACAACGTATCCTTGTCTTCGCTTCCACCATGATCCTGGTGACACACTCCACCTCGGCTAATGAACTCTGTCAGCCGTGAATCCCAGGCCTTGGTGTCGATATCCAACAAATTCATCCCCGAGCCATCCGCGACATCGATCAGAGCATACTGTGCCATCAGCAACGACGCCAAGAACGAGCTCACGAGCGAAATCCTTTCCGTGGCCCTGTAAACTTCCGGCTTCGTTTGCACAATCTACAAGGTATTCATTTTCAACAGGATCAGCATTCCTGCATGTTCTTTTTTTTTCGGTCGAAAATCCCGATTGCGAGCATTATCTTCATACTCTTGATCCTCAGTCCCCCCCTCCCCTCCCCATACCTTCAGGATCTGGCTGCCGGTGTACCGCTCATAGGCGAGTGACCCCGTTAAATCCGCCAAGCGTTGCTGTCCACGCAACCTGATCGACGTCCTTTCAGATCCCGATTCAGAGTCAAGGCTCCCCAAGAACTCCTCGATTTCCTGGCACTGCGCCGTCGTGCTAGTGTCCTGCCAGATGGGCGACTGACCGACCGTGAAAGCGTCCTGAAAGATCTCGACTAAAGATAACGAATGGGTCTCGTTGCTCGTACTTGCGGAGGATTGCATGATCCGGAAGGCTTCTTGACTTTGATGGGACCAATACACACTGCCGTGTTGCTGTTGGGATCATAGTGCGGAGTAACAAAAAGCTCATGCGCACCTTAGTATGCGCACATGTAGCGTAGCATCCCCACGAGGAAACTTGGGAGATAGTGTTGAATGAGAAATAAAAATGCTTTTTTTTTTTTTTTTTTTTTTTTTTTTTACCTGAGCGGCTCCAGAAATGGCGTGTACGCGCTCGAACGGAAACGCGGCCTGCTTCATCCTATCCAGGACCAATTCCAGAGCCTCGACCCACATCAGGACAGGCGCTGTTACGACGCCCCTGTCCCTTGTGTCATCCTCTACGGTGACGCCGCCCTGGGTATGGTAGTGCGCCAAGTCGGCGTCGAACTGTACGGCAAAAGTTGAATGCGTCTCGAGCGTAGTCGAATGTCCATCCTGATTAATTGCGCACTGAAGTGCAATGACTTTGAGCTGCTGTGTCGAGAGATCAAGTCCCAGAAAAAGCGGGGATGATGTCTTGCTGGCGTCTTGGGTGCTCATGCTAATGTTCTTGTATTCGTGGGGTCGTGCTAAGTGAAGAAGAGCTTTTTTTTTTTAGACGATACCTCTGCTGCGCGTTATCTGGACTACTCCATGCAGCAAACTCCCCTATAGCTTCCTCGTGTCTAAAAGAGACTTCTAATAGCTGGGAAGTGGAGCGGAGAAAAAGGACATGGAAGTCTATTTCATGATCCACATCTCCCTTTACATCTGTCAAATAAAGACGAGGGGAAACCAAGGAAGAGCGGAACGCAAAGTACTTTGTTCTGGGAATCATTGGCAGATAAGGAAGCGACATCTATATTTTCCTCATAATAAACGCGACCTGTCGTGCCAAGCACTATTCTGTTCTGGAGAAAAAAGCATTCATGCACGCGTTCTGTCTACGCGTTCAAGGCACATACACGGTTCTTTTTTTTATTATTATTGTTTCGCGCTACCGCTCTAATGGCCGACGCGAAGGGTCGCCGCATCATCCGCAAGCGAGCAATGGTCCAACAAAAAGATATCCAAATCCTGCCATCCACCTCCAACCCGGACCATCACCTTCCTCTTCTTCCCACTGCCTGCCTTCGCTGCCGGCGCCGAACTCGACGACGACACGGGACTATTGAACGACCTCGCCCGCATTCGTGTTGACCGACTCGCTGCCGGCTCCGGTCTTCTCAAAGTGTTCATCCCTTGCTGCTGCTGCTGCTGCTGTTTGTACAACGCTTCCTCAACGCCGCTCAGGCTTCGTCCACTCGACGTTTGCGAATCATCCGCAGCCTGCGACGATGAGCGTCCGTACTCCATCAACCGACACAACACCATCTTCCCGCCTAGCGCCACGATCCTTCCGTGCGCACGCTCTTCTACCCTGCCTCCGAAATAGTACTTCCCCTCCCCGAGTCGTCGAACCTGCATCTGGATCGGACTCGCGTTCAAGATCCGCGCAAATTCTTCGTCCAGCTCATCACCACGGACCGATACATAGCTCGCAGAGGGTCTCTCTTGAACCCTCACCTTTTCCAGCAAATCTGGTAGCTCAGACTTGTTTTGCGCCTTTTTTGACTGTTCCTGCTGCTGCTGCTGATGTTGTTGTTGCTGGTGTTGTTGTTGCTGATGTTGTTGCTGTTGATGTTGATGTTGTTGTTGCTCCTGTAACTGCTGAAACCGCGACGGTTGCAGTCTGCTAAACGACCCTACGGACGACGACGAAGACGTCGAAGGACTCGCCGGCTCTTCGAATGGCGGTACAGGACACGTCTCCAGCCCCATACTAGAAGAAGATCCCGTCGTCGACCCAGGCCCTGGTCCATACACCGATCCCACTCTCTCTGCAAAGTATCCCCCCGAAGCCGCCGCCGTCGTCGTCGTCCTCGATGTCTGTAGTCTCCCATGGTTATCCAACGAAGTCCTCCGATTCCGCTGCAGATTCTGGATTCCATCGCCCACGTTCTGAGCACTCGACTGTCGCTGCCGAACTGTTGGTGGTGGCGAGAACATCGACTGCCGCTGTCCCGAGGGCGCTTCGCGCCCGTACGGTATCGGACTACTCGATCGCCGCTGAGACATCGTCGTCGCCAGTGTTGCCGATGTCGGGGTCGGTGCAGAATTCTGTCGGGATCGGGTCAACGAATTCGTGACCACAGGCGGTGGTAATTTGAGCTGCGATTTTCGTCCGCTGGCTGCGGATCCAGGTGTAGGCGATGTTGACCTTGCAGTCTGAGCTCCCGCAGACAGTTTACTCATGCTTCCGACGGGCGAGAACACGGGCTTCAGCTGCGACGGTCCGCCATTAAGTGAGGGCGTGCAGGATGTACTCCTGGTCCTGGACATCGAAGATGCTGAGCGAGAGAGAGGTGGACGCGAGGGATCAGGATCATACTCCTGTCGACTCGAAGACCGGGAACGTGGGGCATATGTCGCTGCAGCGGATGGTGAATGTGGGATTCCAGGGATAGAAGGCGATGTTGTTTTTGTGCTACAAGACAAAAAGAAAGAAAGAAAGAAAGCTCCATTAATAACACGACCTTCATCTAGAAATAAAAAGAATGGATATTACAAAGGAAAGGTCAATGTACCTTGGACACCATGGGCGCGGTTTGTCCGATGTTTGTCTAGAGGGTGATCGTGATGGGCTTCGACTCAACGATCGATAGTTGACATATGTGTTTGGTGACAGCATGGACGGCAGACTAGTGATTGAAGGCACTGGTGACCAAGGACGGTGGCGTTGAGTGTTCATAGGCGACCGATTCCTAGCCCTCAAAGACTCGTTTGGAGAACCAGCTGGAGACTGAAGCGACGATGTCAATGGCAGAGGTCGCCGTCCACGCTGCTGCACCGGCTGAACCTGCTGAGCCTGCTGAGGCGGCTGAAATAAGGCAGGTGGTTCAGGAGATCTCCATTCTGACTGAGTTCGGGATCGTCGCATCGCAAACAACGGCCTTTCCGGGAGCTGCGCTGGAGGTGTAGGGATGTGCGATGGAATGGACGCATCCAAAATGTCCAGCATTTCCTCGATGCTATCCAAGTCCAATTCGACCTGGTCAAGACTGTCTCGAAGCTGATCCCACTTTGTCTTCATGATGCGATGCTTCTGAAGGATCTCTGTGTTCTTTGTCGTGCGACTGTCGATCCCGTTCTCCAGCATGTTGAGCATCTTGTTGACAGCAGGTGCATAATATTTGTGCTTGGCCTCAAAGCTCTTGAAGATCGTGTAGAGATGGTCACGGTCGATGGGTGCGGTTGGCACGACCTTTTCCCTCACCATCGCCTTGATCTGGTCAACCAGCCCCTTGCAGTGCACAATAGCCCTGTCCATCGACTCCATCATCGACTCGACTTGTCCAGCAACCTGCTCAAATACAGCCAACCAGCGCTCCTCCTTCAATTCGTCTCCTATCTTCTCGCGACGTGCTTTGGCGTCATCCCATAGACCAAGTAGCTCGCGATATTGATCCTGCAGCTCATCTTGAGTGGGATCTTTGGAGGTCAGTGCATCGAGTTGAGATGTTAACGCCCCTATCCTTGGTGTCAGGGACTCGATTTGACTGTCGATATCAGCCAAGGCATCCGTGCTGCGCTGTTGCCTTCCCTGTGTCTCCTCTAAGCTAGTGACACCCGTGTCGAGCGGTGATGTCGAAAGCGAATATGGTGGACTGGAAGGCATCTCTGCTGTCGTGGACGAACCTTGGACATGACGCGACCTCTCGTCCTGGAGTCTGTCCATAGTCAACTCGATATTCTCCACCTCCGCCAGGACATTTTCCATTTGCGTTAACAGCTCCCGGCGAGTTTGAGCACTTGCGAAAATGCCCTTGACCTCGTCCAACATCGTCTTGAGTGCACCCCAGCCGTACTGGATGGTCTTTGTCGTATGTTGCAGCTCTTGTCCTGTTAATGCTGGTTCTTCTGCTTCGTTTTTGCCTCTGAGTTGCTGCTCCTGTGTTGTATCTGAGGTCTCTAATCTTGGTCCGACCTTGTCCCTGAGCTCTACCATCATCTCGATATTTGGGTGGAATCGATTCATGATCATGTCGATCTCGCTCACGTCCTGCTTTCCATTGGCACTTTTTTGCTGCGCCTCTACCTTCAGATCCAGCACGGCCAACTTGGCTGTTTCAAGCCACACTGTGAGATCCGAAGCCGCTTTTCGGAACCTTGAGCTGAGAATGTCGATAGGGATAGTGTCGTATGATGTGAGAACATGGTAGATATCGCTGTATGGTACCGGCAGTTTTTTCAGATTCTCCAGGTGTGATTCGTATGGTGATTCTGTAGTCGATTCCTCTATACTGCTGTCGCTCTTTCTTACAGAGATGGGTAATGACATTGCTAATTCGCTTTCTTGCTGGGAGGACATAATAGTAGTTTCTGATCTACGGAGAAAAAAGATGTGTCAATTGGGCGAAATATAATATAACCCATTTACTGCCTAGATAGAAATCAAAAAAATTGCTTACGTCGTTATATATTTGTCAGGCGCACAGTGCGGGCGTACTGAAGATTACTTTGAGGAAAACGGCCTGAAGGAGGAGAATGATCAAGAACTGAGTGTTAGCAGAGGACAAGGAGCAAATAGAAGCCCGAGGTTGAACATGGTTGATAAACGGGTCATCCAGGATTGGTGTGTGTGTGTAGCGGAGAAACAACAAAACAAGTCGGGGCCAAAAGTACGAACAAGGCTAGCGTTGTGCTACATCCCCATCTGCAACCAAGCCGGCTACCTCCTTTCATTCCCATTTGCACTCCTTGAATCTTCGACGGAGGGCCGTTATTCTTCACATTCAAAAGCGTAGCAGGTTATCGGGGTGCAAAGGAGAGGGTTTATTGCAGTAGCCGAAATCAGGAGTCGCCCTCGCGGGGTGAGAGGATGGGGAAGGCGAGATAGAGAGGCAATCAAGCGAGGATGGAACGATGTCGAGCGCCAGAGCTGAACCGTATGGCCACTACTTTTTAGCCATGTCGCCACCCTGTTATCAGGGCCCCTGTGCTACGAGTGAGCCTCGGCAACAATGGTTCTCTTTGGACCAAGCCGTAAAACGCTTGTTCCAATGCCTCCTTGCGCCATTTTGTATGGGATTTTGGTGTGAAAGGGGTCAATTGGCGGCAATTGGTGGCAATTGGTAGTAGTTCATAGCAATTCGTACCAACCGGAAGACGCGTTTTAGTTGGATATGGTTGGTCGCGTTTTCGTTACAGGGGTTCCAATGGAAGGAATATGATAAAGAAGGGATGATTTAAAAGAATGGAAGGTGTTTGATGGATTCAAAGTGGTATAAGTTCTATTCGTATAAAAAGAGCGGGTTTGATCAGCTGAAGGGTGCTAGTCGAGATTACAGACAGCGCTCATCAGTTGTTGTGGATGGAATGAGTGAATGAGAACGCTGGAAGAATGAGTGAGTGTGAGTGCGCAGAAGCGAGTGAGTGTGAGTAAGAGAGAGAAGAGAAAGCTGAGCTCGACTCAATCCAGCCCAACCCGTGCTCCTTTCGTCTTTTGCTCCTATTGCCAGCATGACTCTGGCATGTCCACACCCTTTTTTTTCATTTTCATTTTTTTTTTTTGTTGTTGCCTTTATTGTCGAGTGCACTGTTGTATTCATTGTGTGTGGAGCACTTTCACAGCATACAGGACAAACTGGACCAGTCGGCGATCTCTATCGTAATTGCAATAAAAGCACTAGCTTCATTTCAGAGCAGAAAAAAAATGTCCACCCATGGAAAGAAGAGAGAGCACTCAAAAAAAAAAAAATAGCATTGCCATTACTCCGTCAGGAACCTTCGGATGTGCGAAACAAGAACATCAACTGGCGGGGAGGGAACCAAAGATAGTCAGGGAAATATGATATCCATTTCTGTCTATTTGACCACAAATAGCTCTGCAACAGATGGTGAATTGGGCGTATACGGATGCTGGCCGTTATGGGGGGTGTAGGCAGCCTTGCCATCCGTTCCATGGCAGCAGAAGAATAATGAGACAGAGGGCTCGCCTTTGCTTTAATTGGCGATTTGCAGCCCACAGGCTCCACATGCAGCACATTAACCCTATTTCTAGATGACGCGTCTTGCCTCTGCTGGCTGTCTACCTCCTGCTCCTATGCTCTGCATCGTCCTATTTATACACTAGATACCTCGCGCTGTGCATGTGCATCTTTGGTGTAGATGTACTTGTAAGTCTATGTTTATGCATCATCTTTGGACGCACCTTGAACATTCCTCCGCACAGCAGGACAAAGACCAAATAGAACGCTAATTTCAGGCACAAGGTATGACCCATTTTCGTGCTATGGCACTTAGCTAACCACAGACCATCATTTGACCCGAACCGTGTCTGGATGGAGAAAATGTACGACAATACATTCTTGGAACCGATCGCATAGAATTACTCGTAATCGAACTCGATTTTTTTAAGGCACTCGTCATTGTCCACCTTTTAAGGAAGATATATTTGCCTGCACCGCGTATGAATCCTACAGTCATTGAACGCCCTTCGCCGGTGTACAGATCATTTCTTATCCTTCATGCGCAACATCAAGAACTTTCCCACGCCTACAACATAGTATCAGGATTGAACAGAATTAAAAAAAAAAAAAAAAAAGGAAAAAAGGAAAAAAGAAAAAAAAATAACCGCATTGCATCTTCAGCTTTCCAATTTTTGGGGTCAAACGTTAAGAGATATCGAACTTTGCGCTGCCGAGAGTGTAGGCAAATAGATATTGGTCATCGGACAAAAAAAAAAAAAAAATTGGCTGACTCACTGTGGCCAGTGAGTAGGATAGAGGACGAATGTTGCTGTGGTGACAGATCACTCCTTCGCCGCAGTTATGTGCTAATGGAGGAAAGGTATGCGGTAGAAGCCGTGAGAAAAGTGGCTCGGTTGCTTTTACCGTTGCGATCGCAAGTCTAATCTGCGGGCAATTGCTACAGGTGCTGTGAGGGGTCTACACGCTGCTCGGCGCAAACAGAAACAACAAAAAAATAAAAAAAAAAAACGGCGATTTGCCACGCGAGTAGAACGTGGCACATGACATTTCCGGAAAATGGTTTGTATGGTGCAGGGGCTACTTATATCGTGTGGTGGGACGGGTGTCCAGCTGGTGTTGTATCGACTTCTTTACACCAAGGTCTCCGACATCATATGAAAATGATGACTAGACTATGTGCCGCTTATCGGAAGATAAGCACGTGTACAGCTGCCGCCTGATAGGGGTTTTTCAGGGATGTCTCGTTTTTAGGAGTTTAAGGTTTTGTATGCCCTGACACAAATTCAAACATCGATATGGCACCCGATACGACCAAATCTCAAAAAAGAGTTTACAATTACGGACCAAAAGAAAAAAACTCGGCACCGTATACCTAGACTTGGGGCGATATAGTGTAGCTTTAGTGGTGCTGATGAGGAGGAATGATGCGGTCGATGTGCTCATCCCACGAAACCGACAGAAGCAGGAAACTCTAACTTTGGGAGGAGAACCGCTCCTTCTAGACAGCATGTTCCCGCAGACAACCTGTCCCAAGTATAGGATGTGATGACAACAGATTAGACTAGGTCGCCACAACTTGGCGCTAAAAGACGTACCCGGACAATGGACCTAAAACACCATACGTACGTTGAAGCAAGATATGATCTGTATTGCTTGTGTTCTCTAGACCAAAGAATCTACCCAGATAATGCGCGGTTGACTGATCAAAAGCAGCATCGACACTGCACGAAGAGATCCGTCTATCTCATCAAAAAGAAAGAGGTTAGGTGGAGCACGAAGATCGATCCTCCGTAGGAGCGTCGTAAACGCGTGTATAGCGCGTCGTAGATCTTTTAGCGCGCGTCGGTCCTGTTGTTCTTCTACTCCGTACACAAATAAACTACTGTACATCCAAAATTTATGGATCATCGCCTCTATTTTCGTTCCTCTTGCCTCTCCACCTGCTTCCTTCTTCTCCCATAAATTAGATCCGCGAATTACGCTTGAGAAGATACAGGATGCTGTGTGTGTGTGCTGTATTGCTGCAACTGATCCGATCCACGAGCTGGGCGCTGCTGATCCAATTTGCCTTTGTTTTTTGTTCTTGCTTTTGGTCGCCTCAGGACCATCTTTTCAGTGGAGTAGCTAGACCTAATTGCTTTGATCTCAATATTTCGTTGGAGCCCTTGTTGTGGCGGACGGATGGATAAAGAAGGTATCTACTTTACTAGATGACAAAATAATGAATTGCCCTGGTTCATTCTCGGCTCCACCTTCATCTACCGTATTTTCTTTGAATGAACAGTTTGAAACAGCGCGCGTTCTTTTATTTTGTACTTTCTTAGAATGGAAACCAACAAAATGCGGGGCAGACGACTAAGCGACGGACAAGGAAAACCATGATAAGGGCTCCTTTCCTCTTGTGCCTTGGCTTCAATTGAGAACAAATCAGGGACACGACGTATCATCTACACGGATTTACATCTTTACTAGACAGGAAGGCAATCAGGAACGCTTTGATTCTTGGGCAAACTGGATACATAGGGTTATGCTCGAGGCTATTATTATTATAATTATTATTAGGATAGTCCACTGTCAAGGGTAGGGACAAGGATAAGGACGAAGACAAGACAAGAAACAAGGACTTTTCTTGATGTCTTGGAAGCAGCTACAGTCCGTGGCTAAAAAAAAAAAATAAAAAAAAAAAAAAGACCTCAATTATTTTTTTTCTCTCATCCTACAGATCGATGGGGTTCAGGGTCAGCGGCTGAGGAGAAATGCTAAACGGGAGGGCAGCATGGACGCGAAGACAGCTCCTGCAACCAACGAGAAAGGAGCCAATTGCGCTCAAGGACAGAGAGATAGGGGGATTTTACAGGGGTTCGAGTTCAAAGTTGCAAGCAAGCGACGTCCATGGACAGTGCAGCAGCAGCAGGTTGGCATGCATCGAGAAATAGGGCCGAGCAGTAGTGGATCGTAGGATTCTCCTTGGCCCCTGGGAAGTGCCATTGCTCGCACAAGCAAAGGCGAAGGGGGAAGGGAAGCTGGGGAAGTACACAGTCTGGCGAGGACTGGACACGCAGAGTGCAGGCTATAGTGGCAGCAGTAGCCAGACCAGACCAGACCAGACCAGACCAGACCAGACCAGACTAGACTAGACTAGAGTAGCGAGAGAGAGTGGCCGAGTGCAGTCAAGGAAAGAATAGCAGCAGTAGTAGTCTAATGGCTGGATTGAATGGGAGATAACAAATCCAGTGGATCGAATCGAATCTAGTCGAGTCAAAGGGAGTGTGTTGTCCCTGAACGAGGAAAGTGACTGCCCGCGTTCATTTCAATCGAGATTAAAGTACCCGCCGCATTCAATCCGCTCTATTGTCTGTATTGTATGCTCCACCTGCCTCCTTCCTATCGTCGTCCTGGAGTCCTGGAGTCCCTCTCGCCCCATCTTTGCGAGTGTGAGGACGCTTTCATATTTAAACCTCCCCGGAGACGCCCTTCCTCCCTCTTCTTCTCTCCTCCCATCCAATCCACTCCTTCCTTCTCCCTCTCTTCGTCTTCTGTACATCAACCCCCCTTCTTCCCCCTCCTGTAAATATATACCCTATACTCACCTCCTCTCCACCCATTCCTTAACCATGGCCAACCAGGCTCGCGTCGCTTCCCTCCAGGACAACATCAACCGCCCCACCCGGGTCCTCTCCTACCCCAAGAAGGCCGATGGCAAGCCTCTCTACACCTCCGAGTTCTTTGGCGAGAACGTCTTCTCGCTTCAGCAGATCGCCAAGGCCCTGCCCAAGCCCGCCTATGCCTCCTTCCTGAAGCAGATGCGCGGTCGCCAGGCCCTCGACAAGGGCACTGCTGACGCCATCGCCCACGCCGTCCGCATTTGGGCCATGGACCGTGGCGCCACCCACTTCACCCACTGGTTCCAGCCCCAGACCGGCTCGACCGCCGAGAAGCACGATGCTTTCCTCACACTAAAGTCCAGCTTCTCCCCCAATGGCGAGGAGGTAAGAAAACCCCCCCCCCCCGAACGGATCAGTGGAAATGGACAGCAAGAGGAAACAACTTTCAGGCTTTTTTATTATCAGCATGGACTGGGATCCCAGAAGAAAAAACAGATCTAGGCAGGGGATGTAGATGGATCATTGGGCTGTCCTAGACACAAAATGGTCGATCTTTTTGGTCTACTGTCAGCGCATCTTTGGAGCCTATGTCGTGTCCCGTTAGTGCAAAGGACCATTAGGGACTGTGGGATGATAAGGACGGGGCACTGCCGATACGATGCGTCTATTTTCTACCGCTACGGGTGGAGGGGAAGAGGGAGGGAGATGATTCACGCCACGGAAATATGATTGCTGGTCAAATAGATCCATATACTAACAGCTAGGTATCTATCTATTTTAATTAGGTCACTGCCATCGATGCCTTCTCTGGCTCGCAGCTGCTCCAGGCCGAGCCCGATGCGTCATCGTTCCCCTCCGGAGGCATGCGCACCACCTTCGAGGCCCGTGGATACACCGTCTGGGACACCACCTCGCCCATGTTCATTCAGGAGGGACCCCACGGCACCTCGGTCCTTTACATCCCCTCGGTCTTCATCTCCTACAACGGCGATGCTCTCGACGAGAAGACCGTCCTCCTCCGCTCAACCTCCGCCATCGCAAAGTCCGCCAGCGAGCTCCTCAACCTCATTGACCCCGTCCCCGTCGGTGCTCAGCCCAAGGTCAGCCATGTCTACACCACCCTCGGAACCGAGCAGGAGTACTTCTTGATCGACCGCTCCCTCTACTCCCTCCGCCCCGACTTGAAGCACACCGGCCGCACCTTGATCGGAAACTTGCCCCCCAAGCATCAGCAGATGGACGATCACTACTTCGGACGCGTTCCCTCCAAGGTCATGGCCACCATGTCCGAGGCCGAGCTCGAGCTCTTCCGTCTTGGTGTCCCTGTCAAGACCCGCCATAACGAGGTCGCCCCTCAGCAGTTCGAACTCGCCCCCATCTTCGAGGAGGCCTCGCTCGCGGTTGATCACAACCTGTTGACCATGGACGTTCTCTCCAAGGTCGCCCACAAGAACAAGCTGAAGGTCCTCTTCCACGAGAAGCCCTTCAAGGGTGTCAACGGATCCGGCAAGCACTGCAACTGGTCCATGTCGACTGACCGTGGCGAGAACTTGCTCGACCCCACTGTCAAGCCCGAGACCAACTACCGCTTCTTGCTTGTCCTCGTCGCTGTCCTCCACGCCGTCCACCAGCACGGAGGCCTCATGCGTACCTCGATCGCCTCTTCCTCCAACGAGCACCGTCTCGGTGCTTGCGAGGCTCCCCCAATGATCGTTTCTGTCTTCTTGGGTGAGCACTTGACCGAGGTCCTCAACTCGATCGAGGAGTCCCGCCCCATCAAGAACTTCTCCGTTCCCGAGATCCAGACCATCAAGTTGGGAGGCACTGCATTGGATGTCAAGGTCGCCTCTTTGCCCAGCATCGCCCGTGACTTGACCGACCGCAACCGCACCTCGCCCTTCGCCTTCACCGGCAACAAGTTCGAATTCCGTGCTGTCGGCTCCAAGCAGTCGCCTGCCTTCCCCGTCACCATCCTCAACGCCGCCGTCGCCTCGGCTCTTCAGGATGTCACTGCTGCCCTTCGCGAGCAGATGGGCGACAAGCCCTACCCCTCGGATGCCGACAAGGTCGCTGTCATCAAGAAGTTCATTGCCTCGACCAAGTCTGTTCGCTTCGAGGGCGATGGTTACTCCGAGGCCTGGATCCACGAGGCCGAGAAGCGTGGTCTGCCCAACATCAAGACCAGCCCCGAGGCCTTCGAGCAGCTCTTGAACCCCGTTCACTCGGACATGTTGACCAAGCTCGGTATCTTCACCGCCTCGGAGCTCCAGTCCCGTCACTTGATTCTCCAGGAGCGCTATGCCAAGGATCTCCTCGTCGAGGCCTCGACCCTCCGCACCTTGCTCGCCTCCCAGATCTTGCCTGCTGCTTTTGAGTACCGTGCTAGCTTGGCTCAGGCCATCGGCTTGTTGAGAAACATCGACAACGACGATGCTTCGCCCGAGTTGGCTGCCCTCAAGGCCCTGACCCCTGTTGTCAAGGAGCTCCAGGCTGCGATCGAAAGCTTGGACGGCTCCATCCATGGTATGCATGAGGTCGGCGATGATGCCGTTGCGGAGGCCAAGTTCGCCAACGACCATATCGCCCCTGCCCTGAACGTTGCCCGTGCTGCGGCCGACAAGCTCGAGGCCTTGACCGCCGACAAGTACTACCCCATCCCCCACTACAGTGAGCTCTTGTGGTTCTAAGTCAGCGGCGGATTATTTTTTTCAGGGGAAACCAGCAGTGAATTGTCATGGGGAAAACAGGATTATATTATTTTTTCAGGGATCTGTATTTTGTAGCATATCAACCAGAAAGGAGTCAAAGCATTGCTCTTTTGTGAACAAGGAACACCATTCAAATAAAACAACCAACTCAAAAAACACATTGTTCTAAACGAAATATACCATTGAAAGCCGCTTCCGGTGATTTATTTTTATGAATGAGGCAATGCCACGAAGAGGGGAAAAAAAATGTAAGGATAGTAAGGACATGGCCGATTGAAAAACAACAAAATGGAAGTGACTCTCGAGACTACTTCCTCATGATCCTCGACACAAGCTTCGACCGCAGTGCCTTCTCGTCATGTACTACCTTGCCTCCTTTGCCGTCGTCCCTGATGACCTTGAAGTACCGGCTGCCATCGTTCACCGAGAACACCGTGCACCACTCCGGCAGTTCCTTGCTCAACATCTCCAGGCTCTCTCCTCCTTCGACCTCAGAAATCGGCATCCGTGAGCTCTTGACCACCTGCTCCGTCAGTGTCTGGAGCAAGCTCACGTCGATGCGCTTGAACCGGATCAGATCAAACACGGCTGGCAGTCGCGACAAAGTCAGGGCCTGTTGCTTTTCTTCTGCAGTGCCCAGTCCGCGGCTTACTTCTTTCTTCTCCAGTTGCTTCTGTCGGATCTAGTGTGCGTGGGCCAATAAAACACAAGAAGACTGGTGAGTTGGATATGGATTATGGATCATGGATTGTGAGCAGCGTTAGCAAACTAGCTGCAAAGGCACACAGGTTCCGATACGTTACTCGTTCTTTGAGTTGCTCCAGTGAAGAAAGCGGCTTGGCCACTGGAGCCTCAGCGACCACCTTTGCGACCGCTGCTGCACTCCCTGACGCCTTCTCGTCCTTCTCCTCCTTCTCCTCCTTCTCGTCTTTCGCCTTCCTCATGTCCTGCTCGACCTGCTTGTCCTGTTCGTCCTTGACAGCATATGGACTTGCTGTCGCCCGTCCTTCGTCTGTCCGAGATCGCTGCATCATATCGTTCCTGTTCCCCAGTGCCTTCAGGTCCAGCTTCCGCACATCGACCACCGCCGGTTTCAGCAGTGGAATCTCTGCCTCCGCCACCATCGGCACACTCTCCACGTCAAAATCTGGATGCCACTGATGTGGAAAGGTATCTGTCCTCGGTGGAGTCGTCGACCTCAGGAATTTCTAGTCATCCCGCATAGTAAACAACACACCCCTCCCTGTGTTAGTATAGTGCATCCGCATATCATCCACTCATCGCACAATCCCTCTGCTCCGCTGAGGATGCTCGCCCTACCTGGTGGTACACTTGGATGTGCTCATAGACCCGATCTACAAACAGCTTGCGCCTCCTTTCCGCCTGCGGAATGAAATTCGCCTCCGTCTCGCTCTTCAGCTCCTGCATCTCAATCAGGATCGACCGCGTCTTGACTCCCTCGAACAGGCATGGTGCTGCCGTGTACCGGTAACACTCTGGCAACACTGTCTTGAGTTGCGCAAGATGCCCGAGTTCAAAATTCCTATTCGTCAACGATACATTGCACATAGTGCTGTGTCAGTACCTCAGATACATTGCATTCATCCGCTCCATCCATAAAAAAAGAACAGGCGCTGCCTAAGCCCGCTGCGGACCTTGATGACTGGAGCTCGACATGTTTCTTCATCTTGTGGTAAAAGCACAGCTGGCCCTGTCCTTTCATGAACACCATCACAGTCTCAAGCGCCTTGAAATTGAGATACAGCGTATTCAAGTGGCTAGGCAGTGGCAGTAGAGCCGCCCCGACTGTCGACTGCTGCACTGCGAATGGCCGTGGAATCCTAGAGGACGATGAGATCGATCTGCGCACCTCGACTTTGCTGTAGTAGCCGTCGCTGGGCTGCTCCTCAGACACCTTCCGGGGACTGGTCCGTGGAGCCGCCTTGGCAACCGTGCGTGCCAGTGGATGGATGTTATCGTCGTCATCGTCACCGCTGCTGCTGCGGCTGCTGTGTCTCCGGAAAATGGTGTCCTCTGCCACTGGCTTCAGTGGTATGGTATGTTCTGTTGGTTGTGACCTGTTCTTTGTTGCTGTACCATCCTCTTCTGCTGTATCCGCTTTTGGTGCCTGCTTATTGTCTTCAGAAGAATGTTGTGCTTGTGCTTGTGTTTGATCTCTGTCTCTGGACTCCTCTATTGCCTGATCCTTGATTTCAGTGAGCTGTGTCGGCTGTGGTGTTGACGGGGTCTCTGTATCTTTCGCATCCCTTGCATCCTCTGCATCCTCTGCATCCTCTGCATCCTCTGCATCCCCTACATTCCCTGCATCCTCTGTAAACGACGAGTCAGCGTTCTCAATGGCAGCAGTTGGGTCTTCGTCATAATGTGCTGTGCTCGCTATCGACAGCTGCTCGTCCTTGCTGACTGTGTGCCTGAAGTGGATCGACGACTGTGCCTTGGAGATAGTCGTAGATGTGGATGTAGTCGTGGTCCTAGTCGTGGCCGTTGTTGTGGCCGTGCTGTGTAGTGTCTCCTGTGTAATGTTATCCTTCTTGACTTCTTGAGACAATGACCTCGATCGCAATGTCCGCGTCTCCTGGCCTTCTGCTGTCTTCTTGTCCTCCTTTGTCTGCTTGTAAGCAGCCTAGCAGTATTCACAGACATAGTAAATATCATCGAGCCGACGCATTGAGTATCACCAGTAAAGCGAGTATCACCAGCACAGCAACAGCATGCAACACGAGTTCAGTCCTGCAGCAGCCCAATCACCTACCAGTTTCTCCTCCATTGACTGTATGAGTCGGCCGGCCCTGTTCAGCAGCTGGTCGTCTGCTGAAAGACTAGAGTCATCATTGTCCGCTGTCGCTTGTCCATTGGTATCCGTTGCTGTGCCGTCGCCTGACTCTGCCTTGGCGCGCTTCTACGAGGTTGGATACAATACGGAGTATAAGTTCGCCTTCCCTGCGCTGAATCACCAGTGCTTGACAATTGAGGATGTTCAGCGAGTCGAGATGCAGGCACACGCACCTGGGCTATTGTCCTGCGCGGGCCAGCTTTCTTTTGCGCAAACTCCAGCCGTCTTTGGTTTCCAGGAGTCATGCTGATAGGTGGAAAGGTTACAAAGCAGGTGAAAGGTGTTATCAAGAGAGATATGGGTGGGCTGCACAACACGCGCGGGTGGATGAACAAACAGCAGTCCATTTGTTTCCCGCGTAAAAAAAAAATGTGGCCGTCCTATGCATGGCTCAGCTTCATCCCACTCCCGCCCTCTCCTTCCCTTTTCATTGCACTTCACCCTTTACTCACGCAAGCATATATCCACAGAAGCAAGGACAGACAACTGGAGACATCAAAGCAACAGCAGAAGAATACATCCGCGATGCAGGACGAGAACGCTATCGAGGCGCAACATAGTCCGCGCGGCATGAAGACTACATCGCACCTGAAAAACAAACCAGAAGTACGAGCGAGCACCATCGCCTGTGAAAACAGCATTGCATCTTTTCAGCCATGAAGTTCCGAGACTTACTGCATGTATACATTTACTGTTTGCTTCTTGAACCCTCGTTAGGGTGCTGCCGAAGGCATGCCACCGCAAAAGACACAAAAAACCAGTCATGTGGTAAATAGCATCGCTATTCAGGATGGGACCTCTCTATGACGACCCTGTTGAGGTGGATAGCTTTACTGATCGGCCATACCCTCTTGTGTGTCTACTTCAGCCGTCAGCTCAACTTCAAGATATAACTCCATTGAATCCCATCACGAACCTTCCCAGAGCACATGTAAGGATCGTTGTGCAAACGCTATTGCCCGTCATCCTCTGAAACGATGCGAACTGGGACTGACAGCGGGCTGCTCTTGTATCTCTTGGCATTTTAGAGCAGGACACATCCTCTACCCGGCACAGGAAAAGGGAGACAGGCCCAAGAGGTATACTTTGTCTCGCTCGACTACTTTGCAATAAGCGCAATTCTTTCGTTACAACCATACTGATACGGCGCCTTCTGATAATCCCAACTAGAACAACAAGCTCACAAAATCCCAAACATCCGTCGGGACCGAAAAGTCCAGCCGCCTTGTCCAGACACGTCTCAATGTACCATCCAAGCCGCAACACCAATCTCCCTCATCCGAGAAAGAGGATTCACTACCTGCAGCAACCGCACATGAATCAGAGACCCTCAGGACGCTGCAGAGTTCAATCGAGACACTCAAGGAATCAATCGCACAGCTTCAACGCCAGTTCAAGCAAGAGAGAGACACCTTTAACCATGCGCGCCAGACAATGCAAAAGGAGCAGGATGAGCTTATGGAGCAGATCGGAGATGCGGAGCAGGAAATGGAGGAACTTCAGGGTACCATTGCAAATCAAATCTCCGAAATTCAGAAGCATGAGGACAAAGTGTTTGAGTTGCAGAAGCAGATTGATGAGAGAAGCGATGAAATCAAACGACTGCAGAAGTATGTGGAGGAGTTCGAGGATGAGACTTGCAGGATACTGATGTATAACGAGTTCGAGGAGTTGACGCTCGATATTGAAAGACTGAGGGAGGCGATCGGCGAGCAGATGGCGATTCTGGGGGGGATGCATAACCAGGTAGAAGCAGTGGAATATGAAACCGATGCCTTGCATAGTAGGGATTTGAAGGGTCTGCTGGAGGAGAAGGACTATTATATTTTGGAGCTAGAACAGGCATTGGAGCCACAGAGTCTTGATATGGGGATTGTGCTCAATATGTCAATTGAAGAAGAGTTTGAAGCGCTCAGGCGGCAAGCCCAATTGACTAAGGATCTGGATAAGGAGGTAAGGAGCCATTACGGCCGTATCCCTACTACCTTGAAAGCAACGGCAATGATTTTGAAAATGAAAGAATGACTAACATCGAGAATCTTTTGGGGAATTCTCTGTGATAGGCGGCCAAGGCTCAGGCCCGACTTAAGATCAGATTCGAGAAGGAATGGATGTCCTTGGATCGCCAACATACTGTGAATATGGAGCAATTCACAGTGAAGATCGAGTAAGTGCCATCGCAGCTTGTTTTCAACTACAAGCAGCCGACATAAAAACGCTGTTGCTGAACCCTCATGTTGCGCCCCTGTGGCGTCTTCTTTGAAATAGGTCTCACAAGACGCGATTGAACAAGCTGCATAAGAACATTAAAAGCGCCAAGGAAACGCTTGCTGTTTCGGAGCAGGACTTCAAAGAAGCGGAAGCAGAGCGTTTGCAAGTCCTGACAAGGAGCAAGGCATTAGAACAGGAGATCGAAGACGTGCGGCGACAATTGGCCCACTACCTATGAATAAGATCAATATCGAGAGGTCAACGCATCGGCACAATCATCTCCTGGATTCTTCTTTCACGCTTCTTTGCTTTTCTTTTTGTACATATCATTCGCTGCAGCTTTGCTCCTTCCACCATTACTATATTTACGAGTGGGTGCTATCGTATGCGAAAGGCGGAGGTCAACAAGACGAAGACACTTTTCTCTTTTACGAATAAACAATGCCGTTCCAATAAAAACAATCTCTAAACACAAGCGTAATCTTCTTTCTTGACGCTTTATTCCTTGATTAATACCACACAGCGAAAATATTAGGCGAGGTATGATTAGGTGGTATTTTAAGTCCGCTGAACAAGTCAGCGCAGATCAGCTTCCTTGCAAGCAAAAGATGTCAAGGTCGTCGAGACTGGCTCTGGTGCGGAGGAAAAGGACTTGAAGGGCCGTAGGAACAAAACACGGCTCTTCGCAAAACAAAATGATAACAAAAGCAACTCTCAAGACTACTTCCTCATGATCCTCGACACAAGCTTCGACCGCAGTGCCTTCTCGTCATGTACTACCTTGCCTCCTTTGCCGTCGTCCCTGATGACCTTGAAGTACCGGCTGCCATCGTTCACCGAGAACACCGTGCACCACTCCGGCAGTTCCTTGCTCAACATCTCCAGGCTCTCTCTTCCTTCGACCTCAGAAATCGGCATCCGTGAGCTCTTGACCACCTGCTCCGTCAGTGTCTGGAGCAAGCTCACGTCGATGCGCTTGAACCGGATCAGATCAAACACGGCTGGCAGTCGCGACAAAGTCAGGGCCTGTTGCTTTTCTTCTGCAGTGCCCAGTCCGCGGCTCACTTCTTTCTTCTCCAGTTGCTTCTGTCGGATCTAGTGTGCGTGGGCCAATAAAACACAAGAAGACTGGTGAGTTGGATATGAATTATGGATCATGGATTGTGAGCAACGTTAGCAAACTAGCTGCAAAGGCACACAGGTTCCGATACGTTACTCGTTCTTTGAGTTGCTCCAGTGAAGAAAGCGGCTTGGCCACTGGAGCCTCAGCGACCACCTTTGCGACCGCTGCTGCACTCCCTGACGCCTTCTCGTCCTTCTCCTCCTTCTCCTCCTTCTCGTCTTTCGCCTTCCTCATGTCCTGCTCGACCTGCTTGTCCTGTTCGTCCTTGACAGCATATGGACTTGCTGTCGCCCGTCCTTCGTCTGTCCGAGATCGCTGCATCATATCGTTCCTGTTCCCCAGTGCCTTCAGGTCCAGCTTCCGCACATCGACCACCGCCGGTTTCAGCAGTGGAATCTCTGCCTCCGCCACCATCGGCACACTCTCCACGTCAAAATCTGGATGCCACTGATGTGGAAAGGTATCTGTCCTCGGTGGAGTCGTCGACCTCAGGAATTTCTAGTCATCCCGCATAGTAAACAACACACCCCTCCCTGTGTTAGTATAGTGCATCCGCATATCATCCACTCATCGCACAATCCCTCTGCTCCGCTGAGGATGCTCGCCCTACCTGGTGGTACACTTGGATGTGCTCATAGACCCGATCTACAAACAGCTTGCGCCTCCTTTCCGCCTGCGGAATGAAATTCGCCTCCGTCTCGCTCTTCAGCTCCTGCATCTCAATCAGGATCGACCGCGTCTTGACTCCCTCGAACAGGCATGGTGCTGCCGTGTACCGGTAACACTCTGGCAACACTGTCTTGAGTTGCGCAAGATGCCCGAGTTCAAAATTCCTATTCGTCAACGATACATTGCACATAGTGCTGTGTCAGTACCTCAGATACATTGCATTCATCCGCTCCATCCATAAAAAAAGAACAGGCGCTGCCTAAGCCCGCTGCGGACCTTGATGACTGGAGCTCGACATGTTTCTTCATCTTGTGGTAAAAGCACAGCTGGCCCTGTCCTTTCATGAACACCATCACAGTCTCAAGCGCCTTGAAATTGAGATACAGCGTATTCAAGTGGCTAGGCAGTGGCAGTAGAGCCGCCCCGACTGTCGACTGCTGCACTGCGAATGGCCGTGGAATCCTAGAGGACGATGAGATCGATCTGCGCACCTCGACTTTGCTGTAGTAGCCGTCGCTGGGCTGCTCCTCAGACACCTTCCGGGGACTGGTCCGTGGAGCCGCCTTGGCAACCGTGCGTGCCAGTGGATGGATGTTATCGTCGTCATCGTCACCGCTGCTGCTGCGGCTGCTGTGTCTCCGGAAAATGGTGTCCTCTGCCACTGGCTTCAGTGGTATGGTATGTTCTGTTGGTTGTGACCTGTTCTTTGTTGCTGTACCATCCTCTTCTGCTGTATCCGCTTTTGGTGCCTGCTTATTGTCTTCAGAAGAATGTTGTGCTTGTGCTTGTGTTTGATCTCTGTCTCTGGACTCCTCTATTGCCTGATCCTTGATTTCAGTGAGCTGTGTCGGCTGTGGTGTTGACGGGGTCTCTGTATCTTTCGCATCCCTTGCATCCTCTGCATCCTCTGCATCCTCTGCATCCTCTGCATCCCCTACATTCCCTGCATCCTCTGTAAACGACGAGTCAGCGTTCTCAATGGCAGCAGTTGGGTCTTCGTCATAATGTGCTGTGCTCGCTATCGACAGCTGCTCGTCCTTGCTGACTGTGTGCCTGAAGTGGATCGACGACTGTGCCTTGGAGATAGTCGTAGATGTGGATGTAGTCGTGGTCCTAGTCGTGGCCGTTGTTGTGGCCGTGCTGTGTAGTGTCTCCTGTGTAATGTTATCCTTCTTGACTTCTTGAGACAATGACCTCGATCGCAATGTCCGCGTCTCCTGGCCTTCTGCTGTCTTCTTGTCCTCCTTTGTCTGCTTGTAAGCAGCCTAGCAGTATTCACAGACATAGTAAATATCATCGAGCCGACGCATTGAGTATCACCAGTAAAGCGAGTATCACCAGCACAGCAACAGCATGCAACACGAGTTCAGTCCTGCAGCAGCCCAATCACCTACCAGTTTCTCCTCCATTGACTGTATGAGTCGGCCGGCCCTGTTCAGCAGCTGGTCGTCTGCTGAAAGACTAGAGTCATCATTGTCCGCTGTCGCTTGTCCATTGGTATCCGTTGCTGTGCCGTCGCCTGACTCTGCCTTGGCGCGCTTCTACGAGGTTGGATACAATACGGAGTATAAGTTCGCCTTCCCTGTGCTGAATCACCAGTGCTTGACAATTGAGGATGTTCAGCGAGTCGAGATGCAGGCACACGCACCTGGGCTATTGTCCTGCGCGGGCCAGCTTTCTTTTGCGCAAACCCCAGCCGTCTTTGGTTTTCAGGAGTCATGCTGATTGCTGGCAAATGGGGCCGAGTCCGAGTGGTACATATGCAACTCGCATTGGAACGAGCTGTGCTGCTTACGTATTAAGGGTTTTATGTGACTCTTTGAAATTTTTATTTATGCGCTGTTCGCAGCAGGCCTCCGAAGCTCCCTCTTTCACTTTCAATATGGTATTGAAATGCAGCGTCAAATCTGTCTGGGAGTCAAATGCGTTTAGGGAGACACACACATCCACATTTATCCATGGACACATTGAAGGACAGTACATCCAGCCATTCAGCCATCCAACCATCCATTCCACTTGGCCGACCATTGCGATATTGATCTCCATTTTATCTCGATATCCATCTGCGGAGACAACATCACGGCCATCCCCAAGAAGATTCATCAATGGGATGGCTATTTTTGCGAAAGGGTCATGGAACGGCATACGAAGGATATTTTAACCAAAGAGGGAATTCAGGCCCTGTTTGAATTTTCAGTCCAAGAGTTGTGGGATCACTTGAGCAGGACAGGAAGAATGCATCATCGTACGAGCTCATCAAAAAGAAAGAGCAAGGATCTGTCTCATCGTTTCTGGACTCTGGATCGCTTCTTTGGTCGAAGTGACAAACTTTTCGTGGAAGGCTATTTAAACCTATTCTCGCTGTGTCAGGATGGAGGTTATAGGTGGATCGACAACATAACTGCAGCGACTGATCTACACAATCGGTCGGCAAGAACAGCAATCCTGGATTCCGCCTGAATTAGGACCTACTTCCCTCAACCCGCAACTTCATACTTCCGACTTTTCTCAACAAGTAACTCACCACTCGCGTCTGTTTATCCTATGAACTTCCTTTAACAGACCGTCAAGAGAAGAAACCACGGACGCAACAAGAACGGTCGCGGCCACGTTAAGCCCGTCCGCTGCTCCAACTGCTCTCGCTGCGTCCCCAAGGACAAGGCCATCAAGCGTTACACCGTCCGTCCTATGGTCGAGTTGGCCGCCGTCCGTGATATCACTGAGGCTCTTGTCTACAAGGGTAAGGGATCGCAACCGCAATAGCAGCGCAAGGAACAAAGTGAAATTAGAATTCCTCAGTATATTTGGTTCGACAACACAACAGCAACATCAGTGGCAATTTTTACGATTTGAGGACGAAGTTCTGGCTGGTATATGGAAACATGGATATCAGGGAACTACATGTTTCTCGGAAGGAAAGCTTTTTACGACTAGAAACATAATTTGGATTGGCATCAACTCTGGATCAGGGAGAACAAGTATCATGGACTGGAGAACACGACATCTGACATTACATGTCTTTTTTATATAATTCTGTTCCTATAGAGTACACCTTGCCCAAGTTCTACATCAAGATTCACTACTGCATCTCCTGCGCCGTTCACGCCCACATTGTCCGTGTCCGCTCGCGTGTGGGTCGTCGCAGCCGTGCTCCCCCACCACGCTTCCGTTTCAAGGTAACACTCCTCGATTTGCAGGATGCTGCAGGACGTTTAATTGAACTATGGCTTTTAATGCTGGAGACTATCATACTGGAAAGCAAAGGACATATCGATACTTACGTTTTTGCCTTTGTATTATATTGTATCCCATTCTAATAGGATGGCAAGAAGGTTGCCCCCGCCCAGCCTGCCAAGCCTCTGTAAAGCACTTGTTTTTTTTATTCTTTCCGGTTCTCGAATGGTCATTTCTGAGCGAAGAAAAAGAAACGGCGTACATGGCTTCTTTTTGTCCCATCCTTAATAAACGATTTTCAGAAGAAAGAGTAGTTGAAGGACGCTCTCTTTTGAATGGTCTTTATTCATTTTGAAAAACAATATGATGCTTGAGCTCTGAAAGTCGCGTGCGACTGAAGGTTGCTGGCTGTGCTGTCACTTCTCCCTTTTTTTCGCGGAGCCCGCTGTGGCGCGTCTTTAATCAGAAGTGGGAAAAATGCCAAGACCGACAAATAGAAAGGATGTCTGTGTCCCTTGGCCCTGGGATAATGCTCAATTGAGCAAACGAAGGACACGTTCTCCCACCACTCCCACTTTTTTTCCTCCTTCCTTTTACTCATCTCCATCCTCTCATTCCCACTTCTACTCTCATCTTTCATTCGAACTGCTTTTGTTTTGTTACGCTTTTTTTTTGACGTATATACCTTCTTTTTTTTTTTATCGGACGCGTGGTTGGTACTCTACCCTGTGCGTGTTCAGTTGCACGCCTCACATCAGCGGGATACATGCCCTCCTCTGCAGTTGCTGCCGCTTTGCAGGATCTTTCTTGGTTCGCCTCTGGTCTTAAGCAATTCTACCACTCCCTGCACCACTGCCTCCAAACCTGTTCCAGAACCCGCTCCCGTTCGCTCCTCCTCTCCCTCTCGATTCAATGCCTCGTCTTCCAATCCCTCCTCAATTTCTTAGCCTCCCGTTTCTCAACTAGCATCTGCGCAAGCTTCAGTCAACTTCTTTATCCCACCCTCCTCCTCTATCGATACCTCACCCCTCAAGCCTGGGATGACCTCTTTATGGACACCGTTCGTGCCCTTGGGTGCGATGCCCGCCCTGATATCGCAGCCCGTCCCGCGCCTCCTTACTTTGTCCAGCTTCGGCAATACATCTGCAGAACCGCCAAGGTCTACTTCATCATTGGAGCCATCCATTGGCTCGTCAACCAGCAAGGGTTCCTTCGGTGGCCTTCTCAGATCCTTGCGCTTCTGGCCGTACAGCATTACCTCCTCTATCGAGGTGTTCATCACACGCTCCTAATACTCCTCGCCGCCACCGCCATAATCGGGCCTGGACAGACCGTCTGGATCGTCCAGGTCTCGGTTCAGCAACAAGTCTTCCTCTACGAACTTATGCAACCCTATCTCACCCGTGCGCAATTCAAACCCTGGGAGGAACACGCCTGGTGGAACGAGCATGAGATGGAATTGTGGGGGTTCGCCTTTGGCACCTGGACGATCTGTTCTATCCCTGTGATCGGCGTCGCCGCGGTTCCGGTCATGATCCCTGCGGTGGCCTTCTTGTTATCGAGATCTTGCGGACTCATGATGGAGACTTCAGGGCATGAGCTTTCGGGTGATATTCTCGAGAAGCGCACTCCGGGCGTCAAGGCTGTAGCGGAAGGAAAAAGTAAAGCTGTCGGGGGGGATTGGGGTTCCAGCCGGGTGCAGACCTTTATCAGGAGTATCTTTCCTCAAGGAAATGGAAATAGCAATAACGGTGGTGGCGGTAGTAAGATAAGTTGGCAACCGAAACATTCAAAGAGGACGGTGGCTGGCAAGGACGAGGATGAAGAGCAGACGATCGCGTTCTGGAAACTGGATCAGGGCGTCGGAAGCGTGGTCAGTGAGGAACAGGTCCGAATGGATAGGGGTCTTATGGAGGCGCAGAAACAGGGTCAGCATGCAAGGTTTCGTCAAACGGTTGAGCAACAATACCAGCACCAGCACCAGCACCAGCACCAGCACCAACATCAACACCAACACCAACGTGTCCAGGATGACTCATCTTCATCGCCGACTTCTGCGCTCGCGTCGTCTTTAGCGTCACCACCAGCAGTAGTACTAGCAGGGCCGTCGTCAGGAGCAGAGCCTGACAACTCGTATCGTTCAATGGACCTGCCGCAGTATAACCCCAGCGACAGGAGGACGGTCGAGACAGCACCTTCGGCCCCACCAGCGCCAGCTCTGTCGTTCACGCCACCACTGGTCTCGAGTGATATGTCAAGTTATTTAGGACGTCTATCCGTCGATTCTTCCAGTCAGGACGTTCATCGCGTCGAGCCTGAGTCTGAATCTGCGTCTGTGTCTGAATCGGCATCCTTGAACCTGTCAAGCCAGCAGCAGCAAAATTTGAGAAATAGGGCACAGGCGGAGGAGAACCGAAAGCGAACGGAAGAAAGCAGGCGTCGCGCAGAGAGGCATCGACGTGGTGCTGAAGAGATCCGTCGCGCTGCGGATGGAAGCAGACGCTTGGCGGAGGATATCAGACAGCTTCCAGGTGGGCTTAGACGTGCCGCTGCCTCCATGGTCTCAAGCCTGCAGGCACCAGAGGCAGGCAGTCAACGCGGAAGATGATGAGACGGACGATGATGATGGTGACGATGATGATGATGGTGACGATGATGATGATGGTGACGATGATGATGATGATGATGACGACGATATCGAGTTCGTTAGCTCATTGAGCAGAGGTCCCCGCGATCCTGAGCTGGAAGATCATTATGACCAGGAGTTCGAGGAATACGATCCCCAGGGTGGACCTATCGAACAGATTCCTATGCGATCGAGATCGAGACCTGACCAGCAACAGCAGCGACAGCTCAACGGCGGTGTGCCTGAGGAAACAAGCGGCATCCGACAGCGCGGACAACGACAACATCATTCGCGTAAACATTCCGATGGTAACAGGGACAGAGACAGGGACAGGAGAAGGAGCGACGACATAAGCAACATCGTAGCACCAGGTCCTCGACGACGACAACAAGGACTCTATCGATCAATGAGCGATACGACGGCAGAAACTAGCCATAGTGCACTGCCCTATAGCCCAACGACGATGATGCACTTGACCCCGTCTATGCCGATGCGTCGGCTCCCCCCACGTGTCCCTTCTGCGGCCTCTACGATAGCGCCGTGAGAGAGCGGAAGGTTTAAGGCAATTATTGCTTAGAATATGCAGAGCCTTGACCAGGCTCTAATCAAGAGACTGGGGGCACGCAGTAGGAAGAGGTGGGGGCATAGTTCTCATGTCCCATTGCCATCGCCGTCGCTGAGGGAGAGCTTAGTTCTCGAGGTAGAGGAGGCGGAGAAGGGAGGAAGGAGAACAAAGACAGCGCTAAGTTAGTGCTTGGGTCCTATAGCAAGGACCTCGCATGAGTTACAGGAGTCAGTTTTCGTAATAAAGCGTCGTACAAGACACATGTACTGTAAAAAGCGTGCGGAACAAACTCTTTACTGCTTGTAATTGTTTTTGTGACATATTCATGGGCAAAGCCAAGGGGAGGGGAGGTGTTCAATGGATTCTAGTTTTTATTCGTACTTTAAAATACACATGGAGGATAAATGGTTCCTGCATGTCTACGGTAGTTTTTTTTTTTTTTTTTTTTTTTTTCTCATCAGTCGTGAAATTTGTTTTCAAAATCCTAAGAAACTCACTTATTTAAAGTCAGCCGCGATCTTGACCCAGACCGTATCCGGGTGCCTGGCCGAAATGGGATCCTGATCCAAATGAATTTGCGCTGTAAAATACTGTGTATCGTACTCCAACGGCACGGTGCTCTTCTCCGTCGCATAGATCTCTCCGACAGCCACATTCGCCGTGCCCCTCACCGGCAACTTCTGAGGACCACCCTTGGTCTTATAATTCAGCTGCTTGATATCCGACACCAAACTCTCGTTATCCATCACGAAGCCACCAGGGAAGGAGAAATACGAAAGCGGGGTCTTGTAGATGCCTCCAACGGCATAGGTCTTGACCTTGTGCTCGATGTTGAAACGGGTCGCGATCATCGTGCAGGCAGATCCACAGAACCCGTTCGTGACAATGGCCATGTCCGAGGGCTTCCAGGGCAGGGTGTGGTTCTTGGCCAAGGGCAGGAAGGGCCATGCGTAGTCGAAGTAGTTCTTCTGGGTGTAGGTTTGGGTTGTACCGCCGCGCTTCAGGCTCACAGGCTTCGTGAACATCGAGGCATCCGTGTAGGGCTTCGAGGTCGCAACGCTATTGTATCCACGGGCATCAAAGACCGAGCGCGCCTGAGCCTGCTTGATCGCAACCTTGGCAGCGCCCTGGACATAATCATTCGCACGGAGGTCCTCGACGAAATAGGGCTTGGCCTTCGGGAACATCAGCGCGTTAATAAAGTAGGCGAAATCGACCGATCCACCACCGTTGTTGGTCATGTCCAGGATCAGTTTCTTGCATCCACCGTCGCGGAGGGTCTCGAGCCCCTGGATGAACTGAAGATAATCCGACGCATCGAACTTGAAGTACGCAGCCTCCTCCGATGCAATAACTGCAACACAGGCATTCGACTTGTTGATCTTGTAGAACGCCGTCGTCGCCGTGATCAGAACCTCGGTTGCCTTCGTGATCGTCTGTGCCCCACCGTTACGTCCGTTCTTTCCGCCCTTGGGCAATCTGATCGCTCCACGCTCACGGTACAATGTCGTGGCCGGGGCCTCGTTCCACCTGGGCGCGATTCCATTGTTCGTTCCATTTTTGGAGTTGTTCTTATTGCGGTTGTTATCGTACGGCGAGAGCGGCGCCAAGCACTGGACGTCCCAATAGGTCTTCGTATCCTTGAACGTGTTGAACTCAAAATCATCCGAGGGCTGAACAATCCAGGGGACCGTCAGTTTCTGGACCGCGCCGGTACCGCACTGGATCGTGTACTCCATCGAGGACTTCTTGGGAACTTCCCAGCGTTTGGAGAAGCCTCCGGGACTGATGAGCCAATCATTGTACCAGGATGTCGAGGCCAGAGCGTCGTTCAGACGGACACCGGGGTCTTTAGAGATCGCCGAGGTCCGGTCCGTAAAGTCCTGAATGGCCTTCAGGGCTGGGACGCCGTCAATCGTCTGAACGGCGCAGTCGACGATGCCTGTCTTGGGGACGCCCTTCTGGGTGTCGTCCGCATAGAAAACTCGCACGGTCTGGACGCCGTTGACCACGGGTGCGTACAATGAAATCGGCTGTGCGAATGAAGCCGTATGATAGCAATCGCCTGGAATGTGTCGAAAGTAGTAATCAAAAGCCAAAATGGGCGAAGCACCAAAGTTAGGTCAATAACTCATTCCCGCTAGCGAACCCCTCTTCGCCTCCTTCATAGAATTAAAAATCAAAAGAATTGCTTACTTCTGTAGGCGAGATGACCATCATTAGCCGAGAAGGTCAAGTAAGTCAGCGCCATCTGGAAGTCATAATCGTTCGTCCACTTGGTTGCCCGAATCTTCTTCAACCCGGCCATCAAATCGACCGTTGCGGTCTTGAACGGAGCCTTCGTGGGCTCCTTGGCCTGGTCCACAAACACGTAAAAGTTACCGATCAAGCTCTCGAGGGACGTCAGAGTCTTCTCTGCGACATCGGCCTTGAAACTCTGGGCACGGTAGCAATCCCGCACCGTGTTGAACTTCAACAACGAGTCCGAGTTCTTGCCTTGGGCCGCCAATTCGCTGCAGGGGTCCTTGGGTTTAGGCTGAGGAGAAGTCGTTGATTTGGCTGCAGTGGTGGTAGTCTTGGTAGTGGTAGCCGTTTTGGTAGTGGTAGCAGCTTTGGTAGTGGTAGCAGCTTTGGTAGTGGTAGCAGCTTTGGTGGTCGTAACCGCTTTGGTGGTCGTAACAGCTTTGGTGGTCGTAGCCGCTTTGGTGGTCGTAGCCGCTTTGGTGGTCGTAGCCGCTTTGGTGGTCGTAGCCGCTTTGGTGGTCGTAGCCGCTTTGGTGGTCGTAGCCGCTTTGGTGGTCGTAGCCGCTTTGGTGGTCGTAGCCGCTTTGGTGGTCGTAGCCGCTTTGGTGGTCGTAGCCGCTTTGGTGGTCGTAGCGGCCTTGGTAGTGGTGGTAGTAGACTTTGGTGCGCTGTCAATTGGAGCGGCATTGACGGAGACGACGCCCAAGGCGATCACCAGGGAGAGGATGGAGGTAAACTTCATTATTATGGTTAAAGGAAAGGGCTGACAACTGAGTGAGCAAGAGCGCGCGTAATGTGAGGTTGAGTCGAGTAAGGAAAAACGATGAGGTGAAGATGAGACTGAGACTGAGACTGAGTCTACAAGGGGATTGGGCGATTGAGATGAAGAGCGTGTAGAGGTACAAGTGAATAAAAGCGAATAGGAATTGTTCGCTGGCTGAGAAAGAGGAAGCTGGTCCCTGACAAGGGCTGGAAGGGGTCGATAAGGAGGAGAGAGGGAAGCGAGCGTCCGGGTCGGCAACGACTCGCGTGACAGGAGAGGGTGTGAGGAAAGGGGGGAGGAGGAGGGGAAAGGGAAGTTCAGGGGAACAAGAGGGAAACAGGGAAGGATGTCTTCACTTTATATTTATCTCCACCCCCAGCGGATGAAGAGAGGTTATGAGAGCCAGGCAATTAGAATAGACATCCCGGGGATGTTATTATTGAAGGTGAATCTTAATCTGCCAGGGACGAACTATAAGGGGCTCTCGAACATTTCTTTGTCGTCTATGGGGTGGATGTTCAGTCTTTCTATTTGCTTACAATATATTAGTCTCCTAATGAAATATGCCCTACGCAAATGTAGTTTCTTTGTCCGTTACATCAGCAATCGAATGGACGGTACCTGAACAATGCTTCCTGCAGATACCCTGCCTCTTTTTCATTTCTAGTTACTTAATCCATTGAAGGATGCAATCTGACATTCCCAGGGACCAAATAAACAAACAAACAAACAACAACAACAACGAGGACCGTTGGGCCTCTGAGAAAAGAGTAAACACAAAAGGGCGCCGTTGAAGAGAACAAAAAAGATTACCCAGGGTTCTCTGCCTTCTTATTGTTTCTTTTGCAAAGGAGCATGAAGAGAGCATCCAGAATGATGAGGGTACAACACGCAACACAACATGATAGACAAAGAAGCGAGAGGAAGAGAAAGCGAGAGCAAATGTACCTGCGTCAATGTATCAAGTCTCTATTTCTTTTTTCCCTGGACCAAGTCTAGTGCCGTAAACACATGCGGTCCCATAACCATCTCCAACACGGCGGCCACTAATCTAGTGGTTAATTATCATGGTACACAAATATGCAAGGGGCGAATTTAAAAAAGACTCTGAGCCGTTCATCATCACTTTCCCATGTGTACAAAGACTCGTTCCTGAGCGCCCAACAGCCTATCACCATACGCCAAACAGTTATTTGGTTGTCCTCGGATACAGAACCCGCCAATCAAACATACCCATTATGACACTAATTTCAATACAGAGTGATGGGAACCTGGCAGTGTTAGGGGTTCTCGGTCCTGATGCAATCCAGGCGCCATGCTTGCAGTGTTCTCGTCACTTCTGCTGCTCATATTAAGAGCGCATTCTTTTCCAGATACAACGAGAAGGATGCACTGCATCAGGGTATGTCCAGCGGACCAAATTACTTTAGTACCGGATCATTTTACAATCGCGGCTGTAGTATCCCCAAAAGTACATGCAACACGTCCAGAACACAATACATGGGGCCTTGCAGAATAGCAATATACGCGAGCATTTGTATTCATACCTGTATCCGTATCCATATCCGTATCCATGTCCATATCCACGGTCAACTCAGCTCAAGCGTGACAGAAATGAGTAATGGATTATTTCTTGTATATACTCTAATGCCGTCGATTCTAATATCCATACGACTTTTGAAAAGCTGGATACTGACATTATCTCCAAACCTGAGCACCACATTCGTACCGCCAAGAACCTCAAAACCTAATCGTAGCCTGATGCAACCCTTCCTCTAACTATATTTAACGTGGGAGCTCCTCAATTGACCTGTGCATGTATCCCATCCACAAGAACAACAGTAAACTCGTGAGCTTAACCATCAAGTCACCCTCATCCATATATGTAGTATGTTCACCAAAGTCCAGTATCCTATCCCTATTGCCACTAGAGTCCACAGCTCCTAATACTTTGCTTCTCTCATTCTTTCCACCTCTTCCATTCGCACTAAAGCACACCCAGGCATGACAACTCCTTTAATCCAAAGAAAGCACCCCATCTGTCCAAGACCAGTAGGCGCGTCAGTCGCTTTGTCCCTACGACAGATACCATCTCCTGCGTTGGAGTCCCCAAGAACTGATTCAAAGAACTCGTCTTTCCGATTTGGTAGACTATTTATTTTCTTAATCCTGTAAAATTATGTTGCTGCCTATGCTGTGTCCCAGTCTACACAGCGCCGTAGTTCTCGATACGATACACGAAAGGGAAAGGATTTGCTTCCATAGTCTCACAGTCTGAAAGCGAACTAGACCCCCGCCCACTTGTCCTCATTATCAGATTATTGAGGGAGCTCAAACTTGGCGCCTTTCAGTACCCTACGAACATTTAATAATTAGAACATACAAAAAATAAAAATAAAAGAGCAGAACAACACGCGTTAGGAGCACTCTTTACCAATCATACTCTTCATCTATGCAATTTAGATCCACAGGTACACATTTTTCGAAGACTTACTTTGTGAAGTAGATAAAGAAGAAATCGCAGTAGAGACCCGTCTGGATCGTTCCTGCAACCCAGACAATCCAGTCCACATAGCCTTCCGTGAAGTAGCGGTAGATCCAGTTGACGAGGTACAGTGCACGGTACGCTCCCAGCGCAAACAGATAGTGCGTCGTGATCACTTCAGCCTCGCCAGTCTTTGTCAGCATGAATAGCTGTGGCAAGATCGCGACCGCCTCCAAGTAGACGGAGAAAGTCCACAGAATCTATGCCCAGTTATAAAAAAAACAGCGAGTGTTAGCTTTAAAAAGCCATGTAGTTTTTGGAATGCAGATGAAAGTGTCCAGAAAGAGGGCCGGCGGATAGTGTCTGTGCGGAGAATGATGCCACCAAATTAATTGAGTAATTAATCGGACTGAATTTGTTGTATAGGTGGTATTGAAGGCCTAGGCGATTTTATCCGTGATAAAGGAACCCAGACTGGCGGTGATCTCGTTGTTTCATGTATCAATTGTTACGAGTGCTCCTGATGCTGTTGCGCGTCTAAAGCACAGAAAAATACGGCCAATTCCTGACAAATCAACCTCGCTCCAAAGCAGCCCATGATATTCACTCCATGTCCTTGAAGAAAGCATTGTCCAATTGCAAGCAGCAGTAAAACTGAAGCAAATGTTGTACTTTACCTCCTGGAAAGTAAAGGTATAGTTAGCGATCAATGACAAGAGGGCGGCCCCTCCGACGATGTACTGGACCTGGAAAGTATCCAGACGGGGATCGTTCGTCGCCTTGAACTTGAACTTCATCAGATAGACAATGTAAAGCGATGAGGAGATGAAGAAGATCTTCATCGATGTGTTGTACAGTGACAGGAATTGCGTCACCAGATCCGTATACCGCGTCAAGAACACGGCCGCATACAACGCCTGCGTCTTGAATGAGATGCCTATTTCGTTGTTTGATATTGCGAGAGTGGGAAGGTTGAGTTGATTAAAGAGGGTGAACGCGCCTTTTCTTTCTTCCTTTGCCTACTTCGGAAGTAGTGCGTCATTGCGGCCTCCAACGGTTTGATTCACTTTGGATATGTGAGGAACTTGATCGAGCAAGTCGTTATTTACCTGCAACCGAACGCGTCTTCTGCATCTTTAACAGCAGGATAAAAATGGATGCCAGATGCATCAGATCTGCAACGAGACGGAACAGATTCATGGCGACTTCAAGTATTCCCTTGTATCCGTGTAATAAGAATGTTGATTGCCGTCCCAGTCGAGCTATTCTGGTTCGCTGATAGCTTCTGTCGTTTTTTTTTGGGGGGGGGAGATAGATGATCGGAAATAGGCACTTAATAAAGAGGATGGATGAGAGTAGAGTGGAGTGCAGGAATGGAGAGGAATGGCGGATGAGCAATGCCTCATCTCTTTCTTTTCTAGACTGGGTCCACCGTACGTTTGAGCCACTTGGATCATTGCACGTCCCTGGTGCGCTGGCTAAATTAGACCATTGATTGGCTGAAACCTCACGTACATACGTATATTCTAATCTTGTCATTTTCGGTCCAGACGCGTCTGAACAACCTATCGGTCCCTCAATCTCGGACAATATCTAGGTAAGGACAAATACCAATACACAACAAAAGGGCCCAGAAGGAGTACGACATTTTTTTACCACCCCACAAGGTGGGGTTCTAGTAGTACGACATCAATTCCCTGATAAAAAAAAAAAAAAAAAAAATAGCTGTCAGAAGACTCGTTATGATAATCCTCCATGGGCGCATGGAGCAGCGCGCTCTCGATCTCTGAGCTACTGAGATCACAAAATTTGTGTGAAACCCACACCGGAAATGCGTGCTCGTTTCTTCTTCGTTGCTCATCGGCTCCTTAATCCAGGCTTTGACGCCATATTCGATTACAATGCCTGAGGTTTCTTATAGGTAGGTAGGCTGTCAGGTTCTCTCAAGCCTGAGAATGTTCCTCCTGGCGTACTATATCCTGGCTGTCTTTGCGAAGCCTCGCCATGTTGGCGCAATTTTTATTAAAAGTCATGCTCGAACAGCACAAAGTGCCAGATATCGAAATACAGGAGACGTTCGGCGACTTCACGGACAAGAATGGGTGCAGACATCCTGTGCGTCGCCCTTTGAACCTGCTCTACCGCTGGTTTGTAGAGTGCTACATGCATTTGGAGGAGACCAATGCTGTGGTTTCGTACAGATATTGGCCACGGCGTCGTTGCTGTGCTCCTCGTGGTGTTTTTGTGTTAGTTGTCATGGTTTGGGCGAATGGAGGATAGAGTGAAGATGCTGAGGAGACAGGCGTATGCTGTTCAACGAGGAACCGAGTGAGAAGCGTGTTTATTTTTTAACAGGCGCTTCTAAGAACCGTAGCATCACTATATCAGATTGAAGACAGACGAGGTTATGAAATAATCGCGACAATGGCAATACACAGGACATTATCCAGCACACATTATTAACACAGAAAGTGAAGAATGATAGGAGGACGGAATGAGGATGGGCCTGTGCGCCGTGCTTCTTGTCAAATTTTACTTGGCCAGTTATGTTTCCTTCTTTTTCGTATTCGACCTAAACTTGTATAACTTCAAGGGCAAGAATGCGCGATAGAGGGCATAAATGAGAGCCACGCCTTGAAGAAGTGCCAGGTCAACCGGCTTCTGAACGGGAAGACGTATAGCCATGACTTTGTCGCGCAAGTTAGTATGCGAGTATGCGCCCGCTCAATTGCCTCGTCGTAATTACAGTCCCTTATGAATACTAGGAAACGAGTAAACTCAATCTATTCCTGTATCCGGTGCGAAAAGCCCAAAAAGGGCACGGTTCGCGCTCTGAAAGAGAGCGATCGGTCAAATACGAACCCGTATCCGATGCGGCGACATAAAGACTAGACGAGATCATCAGAAAGTACACCTATTCAATTGACGACCTCCTTTTGAGCTTTAAGGCCAGGCATGAAGGCTACACCCATCTCTTCTGATATACAAGGAACCCCCACGCGACGACACTTCCGTTTGTGCTTGCGACTACCCTTCTGCATCCTGCATTATACATAAGATAACAAAATGAATTGCATGTGGCACAAAAGAATGAACAAGAAAACAAAAAAAAAAAGGTACAAGAGCACATTGTCTTTTCTCTTTAATGAGTGGGCGATGCAGCAAATCTCAAAGGCAACTATGCAACATATTTCGCCGGCGTCTCAAACTTGACTGAGGTCTGCGCTCCCAGAGCCAAGAACAACAGTGAGATCAGCGGAATTAGCAAGAACCGGATATACCGCGTCGAGCTCTCCACCTGCGCCTGAAGCGAAATCACCGGTGACGCGTCCACAGCTGCTTTTGTCGCAGATTTGGCAGCTGTACTGCTGCTGTTGTTGTTGTTGCTGGTATTGATGTTGCTGTTGCGGTGGTTTGCGGTTGAAGATGTCCGAGACAGTGGAGAGGACGAGCGAGTGATCATCATTGACCTCCTTTTAACACCTCCTGCTCCTGCAGTTGCTGCCGATAAAGGGGGAGAATATAACGGTGCGGATGACGACGAGAGATACGAATCCTGTCGACCGAAACCCCCAGACGACGACGAAGTCCGACTGATTCCACTCGCCTGGCTGGTCCTCGATCCCATGGATTCCGTCCGTTTACTCCTGGCTGCTGCAGACGGTGGTGGCGAAGGAGACGGAGATGAAGACAATGATGATTCTGGAGATGGAGAGGAGATCATCCTTGGGCTGCTGCAGTATGAAAGGATCGGGGACGACGCGACTGAGGACTCTGACGAGGAGATATCCTGTAATAAGAGCGCAGAGATCGTGTCGGGAAGAATAGGCGAGCAGTGCGCCATGCTGGTGCTGTCGCTGCTATTACTGCTTGCTGAAGAGAAGATAGAGTCCGTTGAGGATACGCTGAGCGAGGGGGACGGCAAGGCTGAACAGCAGTCGTGCGATGTGATCTGACCAGGATGATGACAGGCAGGATCAAGGGAGCCCAAGCAAGGGGAAGGGGGTGTGTTGAATCGATTGGGACGATTATTGTTACTGCTGTTGATAATATTACATTTGCCAATAGCTCTGCAGATGCAGTCGTTGCAGATGTCGCTTTTAGCCTTGCTTCCGTTATTACTACCACTCCTGCTGCGATTGGTCTGGTGGTGGTAATGATGGTGTGCAGTATCATAACCATGGTCCTTGCAGTGGATCCTGTAGAGGTTAGAATTAGAATAGTTCATAGGGGTATGGGTTGACTGGGTTGATTGGGTTGACTGAGTATGACTGAGGGAATGAGAGTGTTGCTGTCGTTGCAACTGTTGCTGATGCTGGTGATATGAAGCCGCCAGGGCCGAGGAGTATGCGGTGTAAGATGATGCTGGCGAGGCACTGTATCGATGTGAGACCCGCTTGTGCTCGTAGACTGGCGGTGCTGAGGATACTCTTGGAGTGCTGTTGTTGCTGCTGTTGCCCATGGCTGCTGCTAGGGCTGATCCTCCAATGACTGGTGCTGCAGGTGCTGTGGTGGCCGTTGTGGAGGTGCGAGCTGAGGACCCTGGTGTTACATTATTAGATAGACAGTAACGGTCCAGTAGCCCTGAGGAAGGGAGGGCAGACCGCTCTGGAGAGAAAGGCGAGTCCTGTGAGTGGAGTGATGATGAGAAGCAGTGGAAGTGATCGGGTGAGGATGATGCTGATGCTGATTTGGAGCGTGTATGGGAGGGCGACTGCAGGACGGAGGATGCTGGTGCAGCAGCAACAGGGGTTGGGGCCCTGGAGTGTGCAGCAGAGTGTGCAGAGACCTGGGAGGGGCGTCTGTCCTCGTTATGCCTGTGCATATTATTTTTTTTTTAGAACGGGGCGGCGAAAATTATTTCAGAAAATGGCACTAAAAAAGAAAAAGCGAGGTGGAGAAGTAAAAATATAAAGATGAGGTTGATGAGGTGGAGCGGGATAGGCTGTGGAGTTGCGATGTAAGGAAGTGTTGTAAGGGATGAGGATATAAGGATGAATCAAGAGAGAAGTGTAAAGATGAAAAAGAAGGATGATGACAATGGGCCAGATGCGAATGCAGACACACAAACAAAAAAGGATGTGAGCTGAAAAGTGGAATCTCCTCTTCAAGGGAAAGGAAAGGAAAAGGATGGACTTTTAAAAAAAACAATAAATTGGATATGAAAAACACATGTGCCCCGAATGGACTGAAATGGATCCTATCCAATACAGCCTTTTCTTCAACGGGGAGGAAAGCAGATCCTCTGCTGTCATCATGAAGGAATAACAGGCCTTTTGCGCTCTACCGTCCGTCGTCTTTGTTTGTCCCACAACCCCCAGCGGGTCCTCATTTTTTTTGTACTCTTTTTCCTGCATCCACAGCATGCGGTACTGCAGCGGTCGACTCTAGACCTCACCTTCAGCCTCAGCCCCGATGATCGACCCCAATTGCACCTAGAATTCTATGCAGTCCTTCTTGGGACTCATGTCCACCTTTTGCCCTGTAAATCGATAGTGCCTATAAATCGATACACTGATCCCTCTCATCCTTGGCATTGGCATATCACCATGCTCTCTCTCTCCTAACGCATGGGCTGTTAATCTTTAGCTGGGAATAGTACAATAGAGAGATGGAGCCTGCCATTATGAACTATGGGCTGTAGTCCGCTCGTACAATGTTATTTTTCGACCCAGGTCGCTCCTGGGATCCCAGGTAGGTCGCTGAGTTGGAGCGTGGACCTACCACACATCGTGTGCGAAGGTTGGACCAAGGCCCCAACCAATGAAAAGGATAAATAAGACCTTAGTCTAATAAAAAGTGAACCTTTCTGGCAGTCGAAATTGCCAGAGGCGTATCAAGTAAATAAACACGGATACTATTGATACATCCACCAACATCAAGACGTCAATTGTTTAATTGTGCTATCTCCTCCCCTTTCTGAGCAACTGAGGACCATCATCAAAATGGCTCCATGCGCAGTTGTCGTGTGTGTCTTTTCTTTTTTTTCTTTCAACCTGAGTAGACAGACACAACGAAAGAGCCTACAGCACCGAAACTTTGTGCAGTCGTTTTTCTGAACTTGATACACAGACACGTTGTACCTTGTGCTTTTTGGGCTGTTGCCATGCAGCAGCGCGTGTGTTTCTTATTTCATAAACAGGCAAGTGTGGGGAATCAAGAAAGAATAAGGACAGAGGCATGTTTCCGTTGGAAAATAGGGGGGCCATGCATTTCTTGAGGAATGTTATCTGGCGGAGGCAAAAATAAGATCGTACAGGAGAGATAAGTCGACGCTATCGCAAAACGTGTCTCTCCCTCGGACTTCCTTCGTATTCCATTCCCATCTGCTTTGCACCCATTGGCTGAAAGGAATCAACAAGCAGCGTGTGCCCTTTGTGCCTTTGTTCCTGAATAATCATTTCGTGAGGTTCAGTAGCCGGTAAAACGCGCACCGAGGCTTTCTATAGTTTCCTATGCCCGCTTGCTCACTTCTCCGCCCCTTCATTGTTCTTGGAATTCCGGCGCGTCAGGACCCAGCAAGATCTTCGCCTCACCTGTGCGGGCCCAAAGTCGAGGAAAAAATCATAGCAATGGCAGCACAATGACGGCTTGTCCAACCAAATCTCCGTCGATACGAAGTTTCCTCGATAGGGATTCCCATCCTGCCCCATATACACAACAAACCGGATTGGCCCTTTTGAATTGTTTTTTTTTGGCACCTCAACTTTGAGCGCATTTTTTTGCGACGGAAAAAAAGAAAACAGATCTTTAAACCATATACACTAGTTGAAAAAGAGGTGCATCAGGGCTCCAGCGCAGATCCTGACTGAGTGCATGTGTATACTTGTTTAACAACACTCCTTTGAAGAAAGGAGCACCAACCAAGGCGAATACAACATTAAACCCATTCCTCTCTCGGTCAGCTGGCACTTCCAACAGTAACACCACCAGCACCAGCAGTGCAGTTGCCAACTGAGCACTTGTCCTAATAACGACACGGCCCGTTTATTAACCGGCTACAAGCGATCATATGCCGTTTAAATCTGCTGGTCGTAGCTACCAAACGGTTCTCTTTGAAAACGAGGACAAGCCAGCCGTGCTGTTGGATTGGTCTGAAACAAAGAAGGTTGAATGCAACTTTGAGTGGACCAGTTGGATAACAAGAATGGACCCGATCGGTCACAGTGTCAGAAGCTGAGGTAAAGAAAATAGTATATACGATATGGAGACATCAATTGCTCGTTGGCCCTCAAAGGAGGCAGCAACGAGCGTTCAATAGACAAAAGAGGTGTTTGAGACATGCAGTGCATACATCCTTCGTATCATTATTATGGATGCTATTATAATCAAATCACTTGAGCAGCATTGGAAGAGACGATCGCTCATTGACTGACTGTAAGTACTTTCTCCTTGGTCTTTTTTTTTTTTTTTTTTTGGAAAAAGAGGAATGTATGATTCAAATCAAACAGCCATGCAAGATCAGATCGAGCAAGCCTGCTGCACCAACATGATCACACTTGATCTTTCGCGGTTAACCAATTTATCCCTCATTGCTCTTTCTCCCGAACAGGAGAAAGGACTAGAGAAAAAAACTTGTCGCATGCCATGGTTATTTGATCCTCAATGGCAAAACAAACCAATGACAGGCAACAACGCGATTGCAAAGTTGGAAATCTCATATTTGCGGGTCGCAGGTCTTTTTATACATACAGTGCACGTCACCTAAAGCCAACACAAAAATTTAAAAAATTTTAGTCTTGGGGGAAACACCAAGGATATTTTTTAGGAAGAAAAATTTCGAAAAAGACAACGCAAGTCAATAGATTTTGATTCTCTCGACAGAGCAGCGTTGTCCGCATGTCGAAAAGACCAGTGGATCAAAAGTTGTAGGCATTCATCAACAAGGCCCTTTACTATGAGGGACGACAAAAAATTCAGCGTTCTGATTGGTCTGAAGACTGTGACTGCCGATTGTATGTTTCGATTGGTGGCAAAAACTTACTAGGGATAAACGGCACCGTAAAATGGGCTCCAAATCATGAATTTAAAGCGTCGTTATTGTTGATGTTGTTGTTTTGTCGACAAGCTTGGCCCTTTCATAGTCAAGAGGAGCGGGCCACTGCCCATTGCGGAGAAACTGCAACACAGCGTTGGACATATTCGTGGCAGCGTTGTGGTCCCGGTCGCGCTCCCACTTGCACTCGTCGCAGATTACCGACCGGCCCCGGACTCTCATCCGAAAGTGGCACGAACAGCAAAAAATCGACGTCCGGAACTCTGGGATCTTGACCAACTCGATCACCACTGGTGTCTTCTTGTTCCTTGCCAAGTCCTTAACGAGATCCCGAGTCTAGTAATGCCAGGAGAAGCCAAAATATTAGAATCATTCAATTGCCACTCGCTTCTCTCAAAAATGTCTTCAATGCTTGCCTGTCGTATTAAGTTCCTGGTAAACTTGCTGCCGCCGTGGCTCTGACCTTTCCAACCACGAAATCACCATCGCCTAGCCCGATCACGAGAGGCGACTGCAGAAAGGCATTACGCTTGTCGTCCGGCAGAGTATTCAAATTCAGAAATCCTCGTTCGAAGAGAGATCTGGCGATCTTCTTCCGACGCCTCGTCAACGACTTGGAATTTAGGAGCGTTTTGCGCTCAATCTCCGGTCGCTTATTTACCTCGTCCATGAGTCGCAGATATGGTGCCCAATCGTATTCTTTTACATTCGGCAATCCATCGAAAAATGCCATGGAACCCTTGATATCGTCATCAAGATGGTGGAGCACATCCGCGAGATCCTTGTCTGATAATTGCCGATCGGGGACATGCTTCCGCATCTGTAGGATCGCGGTTGTAGCCTTATCAAGGTCATGCCGCAGGGCCTCTCTATAGTCGTACTTGTCTTGCTTGAACCTAGCGCCGCCATAAAAGGATCGAAGAGTCGACGCCTTTTTTGCTACATTGACAAGATGGACTTTGACAGCAGACTCGTAGTCCTGCATCGCCTTTTCCACGGCCTTGGTAATCGGCGTTATTGTATCTTGGCTGTTGCTGGTGATCCCTGAATCACCTTCCATAATAACATCCGAGTCACCAACAACCAACTTGGCTTCGACGGGCTTTTGTTGCACGAGCCTATCTTCGATTTCCGTTATCCCCGCATCGATCTTTATACGGCTCTGTTGTTTGCGGTATCTCCGGTCGATATCATCCCGTGGGCCGCGGGGGATGTTCAGGTTGATATTTTCCTTTTCATAGCTAGAGTGAATAAGGGTAGCAGTGGCGGTACTGGCAATCCCGGGGTCTACACAAAGACTCCGTATTCCAACCTCGTCGTTTGTATTTCGGAGGAGACTGTCGACCTTCTCCTGGCTGTCAAATTTTTTGGATACATACGACCATCCTTGTATCATTGGCGCGGTTGACCAGGGGAAGACTGTGTTGGATGTTGGTACCGGGGGTGATATTGATGAAGCTGTTGTGGATTCAACGATTTCAGCGTCCGTCATCGTGGTTGGAGGCTTCGATCGCCTACCCACCGTCAATTTGTATGCCATGACTCGTAGGTCATGACCGTTGGTCGAAAGGTTGCCAGTAAGTACATACTTTTGTCGCGGTTGCCCCGGTTCAGATTTGTCGATCTGCTCTTGGTATTTTTCCGGACGTTGAAGACTTTGGCGAATAAGATCCTTGAATTCGAGTTTGCTGCTTGCGTACCGGGGATCTTTTGCCTCCATTTTCTCTAGAGCTGTTCTTGCTTCTTTGATTGTGCTCACGTCGTCGGACTTGAAGACAACCTTGGTCTTGAGGCACTTTTGCTGGAGTGCGGATGGTGGATTGGGAGATGAGGAGGAGGAGGCAGGGCCACAGCTGCCATTGGCCCACAGCATGTTGGCTCCTCTACGGTAGCTCGTATTCTTGCCATTAAGGAAAAGGAAGAAGGACAATCGACCGACCTCGTCCTGTGTGTTCTTTTCAGCAGATGTCTTGGATCCAAAGACATCATCAAGTATTTTTGCAAGCGAGCATTGCTTTTCCTGCTCGGCACTACTTAATCGGCGCATTTTTTTGGCGATTGGTGTGAGCCTGTTGTTCCTTTGGTCCATTCTGAAATCTTTCAAAAGGCAGCGGACAAGCTGACGCTCCGTGAAGGAAAAGAAACCGTCCTCATAACCGATTTGTGGTAAGATTTTGATTTGAGCCTTCGCTGGCAAAATCAGATTCAGGATAAGATGAATACTGACACAATCGTGCTCCCGCGACCGCCCTGTCGTATCGTCGATAGAGTCCAAAATGGCCTTCCCGTTCTCAGAAGAGGCCCAGGAGGGATTGTGCATTAATGCCTATAATGAGTAGTCAGAGTAGTGAGGCCAGTGTCCGCGTGCATGATTGAAACGAGATGGCTCTTATTAAGATGACTTACCCGCTTCTTAAGTTCCAATGAAAACTTGTAGAGGTGGCCTCCTACCATATCGGACAGTGTTCTCGCACACTGGCTCATGAAGGAGCCTTCACAGACGTCTCTATCCTTCAGTCGGAATGGTGGTGCCTGGCGTTGCGAGGTGATCTGTAAATACTCCTGAAAAATCTTGTCGGACGCCATTAATGCAGGTGAACTAGCCTTCTTGAGATCGGAATTGTCACTGTCCCATCTGATTAACCGATTCAAAAGCCGCTGAAAAAATGAATCTCGTTTACCCTTCAATAGGATATTGTTGAAGTGTTCCATTCTTTTGTCGCGATGCACTCGTCCTCGATCTCCGTCAATTGCTGGGAATGTTCCGAACGTTCTTGTTATGTAGAGATTGGTCACCAAAAGGCCCTCGCGTAGCAAATCAGTATGGACTCTTGCCATCGTCTGCATGGTCTCGAGGAGATGGTCCAATAAGAGGCTACGGTCCTGGTCATTCATGCAAGGGAATGACTCTTTGAGACTGTGAATAAGACACGACTCAATCCGGCCAGGCCTCATTGCGCGCATTGGATGCAAAGATGCAACAGCGTCGACCATCAGGTTTGTTGGGTTGATCTTGCGGGGAACAGCGTTCTCGTTCAGTGGTACATCGGCATCACGAGCCTCCCTGGAGCTCTTGGTATATGTAATCTTCTTGAATGCCCTTTTCTTGGGACGTTCTGCATCGATAGGCTGGTCCTCAGCTTGTTGATCCCCCTCGTAATCGCTTCCGCTACCAGAATTGTCGTCAGAGTTGTCGTCAGAGTTGTTGTCAGAGTTGTCGTCAGAGTTGTTGTCAGAGTTGTCTCAGACTCATTTCCGTTCATTGTATTCTCTTCAGCAGTTGTCTTCAGACTCATTTCCGTTCATTGTATTCTCTTCAGCTGAGACAGCAAGAGGAGCAAGGAGGTTCACCACTGCGGCATCATTCGAGATATCTGCATTGTCTGGGAATGTATCATGATCGTCGTCGTCGTCGTCGTGATCTATGAGCACACTAGCCGTGGATCCGGGCCGACCGATGGTCCGATCTTTCACGCTTACAGGCTGCGTGTTTTTGTCCTGACTTGTGAAGGCTGACGTGAAAGCCCTCGGACGGTATTTGTGGCCAGTGGTGTATCTTTGAAATCTGTTTTCCGCAGACGAAAGAGAGAGAGAGAGAGAGCAGCTAATCAGACATATGCCCTATTTTCAGTACGTACATAGCTTGGTTGCACACATTTTAACTCAAATAAACTTACTCATTGGCATGGTTCCTGACCGCAATGCTATCAACATTTCTTGTCACTGTTCCTGCAGAGAAAGCCATGCGAGCTACCAGTGGAGGCACATGAGGTGCCGTGGTCGACCCTGATTGTAGCTGTGGGAGCGCAAGCATCTCAACCACATTGTCGTTGCCTTCAGTCTCTGAGAGCTGGACAGGAATGGAGTTAATTGGCGTGAGAGTCAAGGGTCTTTGGCTTGGTCGGGACTTCTATGACCAGTGGCTCCTACGGCTGTGTAATGGTACGAATTGGTGATCAGCCAGTACCTGAAGCAAGTTGGATCGACATAGATATCTACATTTCATTCTTACCAGAGAGTCAATGCCTCGACTCGATATATGATCCTTCTTATGGACTCATCAATCTCGTCATCTCCTTGAGTGTATTGGTCCAGGGGCGTCTCAACCAATTTCACAAAACTGTCCAATGACTTCTTGACGTCGTCGTGATGAACATTTTTCCTTCTGCAGAGTTCTTTGACATATCCGTCTACCGAACGGTCCTTGCTTTTCTTGCGAAACCAGTCTTTTCTGATCGCAGAGATATCTTTGATAGCCGTGCTGAATGACGTCCGACCCACACTTGGGTCATAGTCATTAAGGCTGACGACAGCGGCAGCGACCCACTCTTCCGGTGTTTTGAGTCCGCAGTGACGAATAATATTCTCAATAGGGTAGCAGTAAAAGCGTATCCCTTTCGGATGTAAGCGGATGAGCCGTTCAGCGCCTACGAACATGAGATCACTGTCGGTTGAAACGACTACGAGACCTGGGTTCTCTCGTGCCTTCCTGCCGACACAGACGTCAAATTAACCAGCACACACATGCGCGTTCCAACCGTGAGACTCTTGTAGTTCATTGACGATGGCCCTTGTGGCTCGGGGATCCACACCACGGGTTCTAATCCAGCAGGGAAACAGGACTTTGCTGAGAAACGATTTAAATCGAGAGACCTGGCTGTTGGATAAGTTGGACTTTGCCTCCATTAGCGACAGTCGTGCCTCGGCGATTCCGAGATACTCGGACAACTTGAGGATTTGTTTTTTTGTGGCCCGCTGCCGTCTCTCATGGGCAAAGGTTTTCTAGGTTGTCGGTGGACCATCATAGTGAATGAAATCTTCTGACTTTTTGTAAAATCTGCCGTAGATCCTGTTCGGGACGTTGGCTACGAGGGGCCAAACAACATCGCGAGCGGAGTTCAGTTCGTGATATACATCCACCGGAGGATGTGAAGGAGGCGATAGTGCAGCAGAGGAAAGTGCTGGTGCCGAATAGCGCAGGCCCGATGACGATGATACCTGTTGAATAGTCGTTGAGTTGATCGAAGAAGCATTGCAAGCCAAAGACGAGTTCGGAGGAGCCGTAGACAGATTCAGTGCAGACAGGTCCGATGCGAGACCCTTGGTCGTTACCGGGGACGGCAAAGACCATGATTCTTGATCCCAGTGGGCAAGACGAAGGACAGGACCAGGGATTCCAATGGAGACATCTTCCTTGGCCATATTTTTCAGTTGCTTGAGCAGTAACCGTCCCTCTGTGGTCTTGAATTTCATGTAAGAAACGGCAGATCCATCAATATCGCATGGACCTTCTTTCTGTGGATCAACAAGCTTGATGGCTTTGCAATCTTTAGCGAGTTCGAAAGCCTGAGTTACACCCATCCTGGAGACAGATAAGTATCGTGATGAGGTAATGAGAACAAGTTTGAGTTAATACTTAGAATGAGGGTAGGAGGGAAACATGTCATTGTTCGCGGTGATCTAAAACTAAAAAAATTGCAACCTTACGTGCTTCCATTCAAGAACGCAAGTTTAATGAGGGAGATTCATCCACTCAAGGGCCTAGAAAGTAAGGACAAGAAAAGGCTAAGAACAACAGTAATTGTGCCCATTGTGCATTGGGATAAAAAGAGCAAAAGGACGTTACAGGTCGGAACAGCGTCCGTGGCTCAAGCCCGGGGTGTGGCTCTTTCTTGGATTAATCGGATAGAGGATAAGGCCAGAGAGAGAAGAGAGAGAGAAGAGAGAGAGATAGTGTGTGTGTGTGTGTGTGTGTGTGGAGAAGGAAGAACAAACGTGGAAAGAAGGAAGAACAAACGTGGAAAGAAGGAGTCGAATAACGTTTAAATTTTAACGGCTGGGGGTTGCTCCATGTTAGGCTTTCCCACCCCTTTAATGTCGTTGACAAAAATTAAAATGATTGTGTATCCAAAGCCCGTCGCATCGAAGACCGCCTGTTGCACTTGGCGATGTTCTCTCGTGTGCCACTCTATGATCTTAACCAGTGAGGGTAGCCATCGTCCTTGACTCGGTCTATCCTGTTTTGAATCATTCGTGTCAACAAACACCGACACCCTGTATTTATCTTGACTTCGTTGTTATGTAAATGGGCTTATGATTCGAACATTTGATTTTCTGATATTCTACGGTGTGATTTGTACTGTTTCACTGCTCGCTCTGCAGCCTCCATTGGCAGTCCCTTCCTGTAAGTGTCCATATATCTAAATGCCTTCCAAGCATACCTTCGTATGGTTTCAATAGGCACCGAGTCCAGAGCCTCAGGGATGATTGACTGGAGACCTCGGAAGGAATAGTCGCAGTGCTTCCGGGTATAGCGCTTACTTACTCCCCAGTACATCTCTATGAAGTTGAGCTCACAATGAAATTTGGGATAGAAGACAATACGCTGTCCTTCCTCCCTTGCAATCTCCTCCAGTATCGAGCCCTGAGCAACAAAATCGGGCTGCAGTTCTAGAATTCGTTCTGCGCAACAGTCCACTCGATCAGGGTGTTTGTCGTCAGCCCTACATCTCGAGCATGTTCTAGGGAGTCCATCAATCCAGAGACCTCGGTCCTTGAGAACCTCTTTCATTCCCTTGGGGTTTCCTCTTAACGCCTCGTTCGCGTAATTATCTGGAAAGACCATGGTGTAGTGGGTTCCATCTACAATGGTGTCCCGCATGGCCGCTTGCTTTCCACCAGACGAAAGGTTCATCCTATTCACCACCAGTGCATCTTTGGCAACACAGTTGTGGTTTGATGAATTATCGAACGCCCAAAGTCCAATCAGATTCGGGTGGTTCCTCTTGTGTATAGTGATCGCTTTCTTGAACTGCCGAGCCATGCCTTCAGCGGTCCAGTAGCCATCGTGAATTTTCCCTGGGTTGATGATCTCTCGAGTACGTATCACCTCGCCATTGTCATCGATCGTCTTCAAAGGTCCCTCAAGTTCGGAAAGAAACTCACTGACCATGATGGACCGACCATGACCTTTCTTGCGCAACGGAAGTTGACCATTTGGATGCCAAAGCATAGAATTTCCTTCGTTCGAGTAGAAGATGCTCTCATCGTGAGTGTAAAACACTATCGCCTGTTCGCCTGCAGCCTAGAGCAAAGAGAAGTAATTTAGCGGTACGAATTAAATATCCATGAGTTACCTCCTAATCGCAACAAGCACTTACCAGAGTGGGCTCGATGATCTTTGTTTGATCGTTGGCGTCTACGGTTATCATCCTCTTCTCGTACTCCTCCATTCGTACAAGAAAAATCTCCCGATACTCTTTCACGTCAGGTCGCTCATGGCCATCGAAATATAGGCCCTTTTTTGCCTCTGAGTATATCCAGCCCAGCGCATGTAGCCACCGACCTGCTGTTGACTCGCTGATTGAGAATTCGATGCCATTTGCTGGGAGGAAGACGTTATTGATGTGCCGCCGGAGTATCGATGGCGTGATAGTGTATTTATGGTTCAACAATATCCAGGTTCTCAACTCATTAAAGTTATCGCCTTCGGTTAGTTGGTTCCTGGTTTTGGCATGCTTCCCTCGACGCGACACAGTGATTTCCTCATTGTTCTCCCACTGAGTAGCCCATATCATGATCCTTCGTGAAAAGTGCACGCCTCTGCCAAAACCATTCGCCGTAACCAGAGCTGCCTTAGTCTTGCTCACTCCTGGGACCAAGCGGCGTAGGTACTGCTGGAGTGCTTGCAAATTAAAGGCCTCGTCACTGAGGGGCGGATATTTCTTGTACTTGTTACCCAAGTAACCTTGAATTTCCAATACCATCCCTGCATTGCGGCGCACATCTACATTCCCGAAAGGCGATATTACATATATGTTAGTATTAATATATTAAGAATTCATATTATAGGCACACAGTATCCAGTTATCATACCTGAAGGTTCTACTTCCTGGACAACTCTCTTCCGGCGAGGAGCTGTCAGTGTTGGCACAGTGAACCCAAATGTAGAGAGGGGAGGGGTGCTTACTGCTGCCCTTTTGAGGACCATCTTTCGGTGGTGCAAATTTTGCCGAGTGGTTCCATCGTAAGGCTTTGTCGTCTTCACTGAAGCAGCAGCCAATCGCATACTCGTAAGGAGTTCATCCCATTCCTCGTTATTCCTGAGAGTTCTTCTGACTGCCTGCCAATCCTCGTCATCAGTGTCGTCTTCAGCAGGTCCATCACTATCCGATTCCGCGAGAACAGCATTCCATTCCTCAATATCGCGACTTGACTCCTGTATCTCATAGCCCGCTTTCACAGGCACATAAATGACGTTCTCCACCTGCAGTTCTTGGTAGACTGGGTCAAGAATAGGCGGGGGTGGTTTGGGTTTTTGCGCTATTCTTCTTAAATGCTACGTGAGTTTCTTCACTCGAGGCATTCTAAACTTAGAGGAAAGGAATGCTGACGACGATGGAGTGATGATGAGAATCACGGAAAGGGTCGGTTGAATGGAAAATACACATGGACGCTCCAACATTAGGACTAAACGTCAATGGTGACTGCTGCGACCCAATTATTTGACAAAATCCAAAAAGTGTTGTCTTCAGATGAAGTGCACCATAGGGATATAGGGTACCCTTAATTTAGCTTGCTTTATTTCAGTTCTGAGTGTGAGAGAATTGGCCCTTCTCTTTCACAGCCTATCAATCAAGCCAACATGGTACATACATCGCCGGGCTTCAATCCATGAGCGCAGCATCATCGCATCCATCGCTATCCATCGATTGATCGATCTCGACAACTGCGACAGTCAGCATATTACCATCCAGCGTCATGACTTAGTGAAGAAGCGAGGAATTCGGCAAATTCAATAGTCATCATCACTCCTCAACTGCATCCACTCGCTTTGCTTAGCCGATTCACGAGAAAGACAGCCAAAGCAAAAGACGTGGTGAACCGCCGATCATCCACTCAGCGTCTACGTCTATTTTAACTGAAGCTATATTCGAGTCGCATCAGGACAGTTGATGATTCTCTGGACGTCCAACACTTCACAGCACCGTTACACCCTTCGCTTTTGCACGTTTTCAGGATGGTCAAGCTGATTCAGCACTCGCGGTACCAGGAGTCACTCAACAGGATAGGAGGGCGAATACAATACAGTCTGATGTCCTCTTAATCTGGCGACCGAGAGGATCAGGGTCGGGATTAGAACCGGAGTCGTAGTCAGGATCAGAATCTAGGACTCAGGAAAAGGACACCCACCATCTTCTTCCTTGTATACTCCAGGAAACGGATGGTTCGGAGGCGGCTAATTGAGTTGCGGTCTTAATAACTTCGTCTTATTTTGCACTCTCTATATCAATTAGTCCGCTGAAGACCAGACTCAGAAGAACGTTATGCGCGAGTTGCGCCTCGAGAAGCTCGTTCTCAACATTTGCGTCGGCGAGTCCGGAGACAGACTCACCCGTGCCGCCAAGGTTCTGGAGCAGTTGACCGGTCAGACCCCCGTCTACTCCAAGGCCCGTTACACCGTCCGTACCTTCGGTATCCGTCGTAACGAGAAGATCGCCGTCCACGTCACCGTCCGTGGCCCCAAGGCCGAGGAGATCTTGGAGCGTGGCCTCAAGGTCAAGGAGTACGAATTGAAGAAGTCGAACTTCTCCGAGACCGGCAACTTCGGTTTCGGTATCCAGGAGCATATCGATTTGGGCATCAAGTACGATCCCTCGATCGGTATTTACGGTATGGACTTCTTCGTCTGCATGAACCGCCCCGGTAACCGCATCACCAAGCGTCGCCGTGCCGTTGCCAAGGTTGGCCCCAAGCACCGTGTGCACAAGGAGGAGACCATGAACTGGTTCAAGCAGCGTTACGACGGGTAAGACACACAATTAACCGTCATGGACATGGACGCTGTCTTTTGTGATTGCTTTCTGAGATGAAAGTATTGATGTTGACCATGCTTGTTTCTTTTTTTACTTTCTACGTCTCAATAGTATCCTGACCAACCGCAAGTAAACGGTTGCTACGGGATAGTGGACATTGTATCTTGAATAAATGCTTGAAATCCTCACTGATAAGCGAGCGTACAAATCAAAAACGAGCATTGTCTCAATTCGGATCAACTCGATGGATGTTCATGGATATGTGTGTCAATGGTTATGTTGACAAGAAACAGTTTTCAGGACAGGACGCAGACAGAAAAAAAAAAAAAAAAAGAGCGGACATTGGTTATGAATGACACACGGGATCTGGCTTATCCACAGTTGAACATAACGGATGACCCATCGCCATTTGACGAGATATCGAGGACTTTTTTTTTTTTTTTTTTTCGTACGGATCAAGGGCAAGGAAGCAGCAGATAATACCGCAGGAACTGAAGATTATTTTCTAGCCGCTATCGGTTGTAAGAGGAACAGGAATTGAACGTCTTGCAAAATGAAAAAGGAAGAGAACTTGAAAAGAAAGGCTGCCAAGAAGGAAGGAATCATTGAACAACAAACGAGAGCATCTAATTTCTATCCTTAAATCCTGGAAATGAATAACCTGGCAACTCGGCTATCTTGGCAAATGGTCATTTTGGGTCGCCTTGCATTTGTATCTTCATTTTTCTCCGCACTTCTGTACGCCGAAGGAAGCTTTATTTAGTCAGTAGCTCTGACATCGCCCTCCTTCCTCACGTCAGTCGTAGCATCAGCACCCAGCAGCAGCGTCAGAACCGGCGTTTCTTACACACTTCTTTTACTTCATAACTCGTGGAATGTAACCGAGACCCTGA